AAGGGCAACAAGGGGACTTGGGGAAACCCAACTCCCTCCTGGCCCACCCACCCCACTCCAGCCTGCCATGGGGCCCCCAAGTTAGAAAGTTTGCCCATGCCTGTTATTGTTAACATTTTGTTTATGGTTGTCACATCCCACCAAATGACCAGGACACACTAGCCAAATAAGAATTCATAAGCTATGAGGATATGCACCATGACTGCTGTAGCTTTTCTTAGTGTCTCAGATGTAGGCAACATCTCTAGCTGAAAACCAGGGAATTTTAACAATGAAAGGAAGTGAGAGTTTGGCACTAACCAACTTCTTTGATTATGTTAAGTCATGCATACTCCTGATCATCTATTAATTCTACCACATCAAAAAACATTAACAATTTGCTGCCTGACTTACTCAGTGAACATCCATGTCGTCACCTGGAGACAAGCAATGATATATTGAGGCCGAAAGGGTGAGTTAAGAGGAGGAAATGTAGCACCAGACCTTGGCCTTATCGCAAAAGTAGGTTTACAGACAATATACCCATTGCAACATCACTGTTAGAAATAGCAACAGTTACAGCAACCTAACTGTTGATCCCCAAATAATAGATCAGCTTGATGCGTATGTTGTGAGTGATGTAGTAGTCAGACAGCTGGCAGGCAAGGATGAAGGATTTGACAGGATGATCTGGACTGAACTAGGTCTAAGATCATAGTCCATATAAACTTTTGTGACTATTCAGAGGCATCTTTCCAGAGAAGCCCAATCATTTCCTAGGATTTGCAGCGAGTTTCCTAAACAACTCAGCATTAAACAAATGGTCTGTGTTGAACCTTAAACATTGACTGTTGCTCTTTATAGGTCTTTCCTAGGAGCGCTTTAGAAGAACTCTTCCAAGCAACCCTGTTCAGACCAATGTGAGTATTTTGTAAGTAAGTCATGATATCTGGGTGCATATGGTAGTCTGCCTGCCTTCTTGCAACAACATGAAGTTGTGTAGCTGGCCCTTTAAGTTGAACAGTAAAAGGAAGAAAGTGGGGACAGTATCTGATCTTTGGAAGGAGAACCTATACCACATTTGTGGTATTGATTTGAATCTTTAAAAATCTTTGTGCTGATTTTTAAGACATCTTTATAAAAAAAACACCAAGATCGCAGAAGAATATATTTTTTAAATTATTTCAATACAGTTTCTCACCATTTTAATTGTCATGGCTTAATGCTATCAAACCATGGGAATTGTAGCTTTACAAGATCTTCAGCCTTTGTTGCCACATATTGCTGGTTCCTCACCAAAGTACAAACTCCCAAGACTTGTATAGCATTGACCCATGGCAGTTAAAATGGTCTCAAATGGCATTAATTATACAGTATAGATGCGTTCTCAGAAAAAATAAAGCAGAAAATGAAGGTGACAAAAAATATAATTGTGGCTCTGAATTCCCAACAGAAGACAGCTCTTGAAGTTGTGGGTTTTATTTTTCAGTTAGCCTTGATTCACATATCTGGTGGTAGTTGGCTCTGGCTAGTAGACTTCAGGTTTCTAGTTTGAAGGCTCCAGGGGAATGGGTTATATGCTTTTCAGTTTTGGAGCAATACTTTTTGGACCCATGATTATGGGAAATGCTCAGTGGTGGTTTTAAGGGCAACATGGGAGGAACGGTCGCTTTGTCTACAATTGTCATAGGATCTATGTTTATATAGGGACTTTTGTTTTTGCTTTCCTTTGTTATGCTGTCCTCTAGATTTAATACAATTGTTCCTGAAGGCAGATGACTGCTCTTTTGTTTATAGGGGGAAAATACTGTGTTTCGTGATAATCACATCTTAATCATGGGTGTGGCAGAGGAAGGGATCCATGATAACAGCACAGGAAATAGAGTTCTTTAGAGTATTTACAATAAACAGCAATATAATTTACAGCACAATCCTATGTATTTTTATTTACAAATACCACTGTTGAGAGCCTTTGTTTGAAAGTTGGACCAGCACTTCAGGAGACCAGCTTTCAAAGCCCTGCTCAGCCATGGAAACCTAGTGGGTGACCTTGGTCAAGTCTCACACTCTCAGCCTCAGAGGAAGGCAAAGACAATCCTCTTCTGAAGAAAACCCTGTGACAGAGTCACCATAAGTTGAATTAACCTGAAGGCACATAATAACAGGAACAAAACTATATTAAATGGACTTATGCTCAAGTAAGCGTGCATATTATTGCATCGTATAATGCATCTTTCTGCCAATAGTAATAAGTGTCAGATCTTAACTGGGCTGTTAATAACAGGGTGCCTTGGAGGTCTTTTGTTCATAGAGTCACCAGAAGTCGAAGTTGACTTGACCACCAGTTAACAACAAACATGTAGTCCAATAGTTTGTCTTCAGGAAAGCAGTAAGAGGATTGTAGCTGCCCAATTGCCATAGCTTTTTCAGCTAATGTGACTCTCCATCAAACAAAAGCCACTTAAATGAGTGAACAGCAAGAAGGGGAGGTGGCAGCAGGATATATTGCAGGATAATGGCTATAGCATATATCACCAGGGAAAGCATTGCACAGCTGAGGCGCTACCACTAACAAAGTCCTGTCCTAAATAAGCAGATGTCTCATCTCATTAGAGAGAACCTGATGTTTCTCTTAGGGCTAGGGAGATATATCTTTAAGGAGACTTGCAACTGAATCCTACTCAGGTTCACATACAAAGCAGACACAGGAAACAGAGGGAACATGTCCAGAGTATTCATCCACAGCATAAGTGCAAGGGAAAGACAGATCATTAAGAATATAAAAACTTCAAACTGTTGATCTACTTGTTGCATATATTGACTGGCAGTAGCTCTCTAAGGTTTCCTCCATCTTTCTCTAGAGATGCTAGAAACTAACACCAGGAGCTTATGTATGCAAACATATTTAAACCGCACTGGAAAAATGTGGGTAATTTGTAGAGAGGAAAATTTAAGTGTCTACTTCCTGTGCATCTATGTTCTAACTTCTTATATTCAAAAGTGAACGGTGTTTTTTTTAAAGTATTGGGTCTCAGCTATGGAAGCTTAGATCTATCATGATGTTGACCCCTAGGGTTAGATTTTTCTATAGAGCTAAGCAAATATTTCAGTTTGTGAATTCTGAATGCACAGTCACATGTACAAGTCCAAGCCCTGAACAGTTCCAGCCCACATTACCTGTCCAAATGTATCTCCCATTACGAGCTTTCACAAAGTTTAAGATCAGCTGGAGCGGCCCTGCTCTCAATCCCACTACCATCGCAAATGCTACTGGTGGGGACAAGAAACAGGGCCTTCTCACTGGTAGTCCCTCATCTGTGGAACTCTCTCCCCAGTGACATTAGATTGGCAACCTCACTCCTGTCCTTTAGAAAGAATCTCAAAACCTGGTTATGCAACTAAGCATTTGAACAGTAGCAGCAGCAATCAGGAATAAGACTCAATGTGATATGTATGACAGTGACTGTCCCAGACATTGATTTTAAACTGGCATGATTTTAATCTAATGTTTTTTAATGTAATGTATTTTAGTAAACTGTTTATAAATGTGTTGTATGATTGTGGTTAACACTCAAATGAGTGCTTCTTGTGAAGCCGCCCTGAGTCCCACCCCTCGGGGGGGGGGGATGAGAAGGATGGGGTACAAATGTACGAAACAAATAAATCAATATTCTGGCAACTAATTCTAGGATGAGCCAGGCTGATTTAATGATTTCTGGTGATCTTTTGATGTGACCTGGAATGAGAGAGACTTGAGTCCTCATAAAATATTTAAAATTACATATGGGTTAACACCCTGACTCATGCATCAGCCATATCCATATCCTTTCTGGACAAAATCTCTTCCACGTGGTTGTCATGAGAATTAGAAAATGCAAAATATACCCTTAGAAATTTTCATACATGTCCATTGAAAAAAGGATGAAATACAAATATAACTAAGCTTACAATTTTAACTTTGCCACAGGATGATCCATGGGACATTCATCTAACCTCGCAAGACTTTTTGCATCCCTCTCCTTTCTGGAAGCTGTATAGCTAGTAAAGAGCTTCTGCAGTCTATTCCACAGTCAAACAGCTCTTACCCTCAAAAAGCTCTTTAATGTTGAAGTGGGATTTTTTTCTCATTCCATTCATGTTCTGGTTTCTGGAGCAGCACCAATCAAGCCCACATCCTTTCAGATATTTAAAGTTGGCTAAATACAGAGATTTGTATAGGGAGTATATATTGGAGTTATATAATGTCTTTATAATAAATAAATGAGCCATGTTCTGAATGGAAGGCTTTGCTTTGTGCTGATATCTCAGGTGACAGCAGCGGTACAGCAATAAGAGATCCTGCTTATAGAGAAGCAATAAAACACAGTGTTTATAAGGGAGTGTTCTCCAGCTTCTATTGGCAAACACCTGCTCTCCGCTCCCCTGTTTCCTTGCTGTCTGGTAAGAGAACCTGTTTTGGTCTCACGCTGGAGATTCACCAAGAAGATGAAAACTCCTCGGCGATATCATGGCTACATTCTTCTGGTAAGAACTGCAGGATTTCTGAATTGATAATTGGAAAGGGAAGGATAGACCAGGAAATGTCAAGGGTAGGCTAACACCACCACTTCCCCTCCAGTATTTTGTGTCTTTTGCTGAAATTATCTGCATTTATCTGTGTTCAGGGGTGCATTGTATGAATTTCTGGTGAAAAAGAAAAAATCTTGGAAAGTACTCTCAAATGTGTAGGAGAAACAGAGCTAATAATAAAAAGTCAAGGCAGAGAATGGAGCAGAGGAAAGAAAAAAATGTATCAGGGTCAGTGTGGATTAAAGCGGAAACTGAATTAATGGATAATTGGTTTCACTCCAGAAGATAACTGCTCATATAATAATTAGCTAAAATGTAGTAAGTGAACAGAAATCACTGTTGGGTTATAGCAAAGTACATGTGACAGCCTGGTGTATTAAAGCAAAATACTTTTCAGTGTATGATCTTTCTGAGAAGTTTTTATTTTTATTTTTATCAAATGCCTAGCCACAATGGCTGAGGAGCATGTAGGTGTGGACTGGAATAACTCCAGAAGCTAAAGCAAGAGGACGATCCTAGTAAATGACTAAAATCAGTACAATAAATAATGAGAAACACTAAAAAAAAAAAAACAGGGGAATTCCAGACAAGAATCAATCAGGGCCAGCTAACAACTCCCAACAAATGATCCCCCAGGCAGCAACCAGCCAGGCTTTGAAGCTGCAAGGCCATTCAATGCTAATCCAGGTGGCCAATTGCAACATTGACACTTTCCTCAAACAGACAAGGGTTCTTTCTTCCAGCCTGGACATTCCACAGTTATATATAAACCTCACTTGCCTAGTCTCTAACAGACCGCACAATATCTGAAGATGCCTGCTAGAGACGTGGGCAAAATGTCAGGAGAGAATGCTTATGGAGAATGGCTATACAGCACAAAAAATTCACAGCAATCCAGTGATTCCGTCCTTCGACAGCAAACTGACTAAAACTTCAGAAGCAGGACCAGCTTCTCGCCTCACCTCTTGGCTAGCAAAAATAAAAGAAAATTGAGTCAAGTTGTTAACTACATATGCAAATGATAAAATCCAGAGTATTCATTGTAAGAATGTAGGATATTTCTTTAAACTCAAAAGTAGTTTTCCTTAGACTGCACATGTTCTGACTGTGAGTACCATTGTTTATGCAGTCCTCATGAACGAGGAACAAGTGTCAATATTTTTGTAGGAATCCCGAGTTGTGCAGAAGTGCAACTAATTTAACTGAGATCTGTAGTCCTAAAAAGCTCATCCACACTTAAACATGATAGGTAGTACAGATCCCATTGATTAATTACTATTCCTCACAAAATAATGCTTGTTCTTAAAAGTTAGTCCTCTTTACGTCACATGGGGGAAAAGTGATGTACAAATTAAATAAGTAAAAAAAAATCAGTCAACAAGTAAGTAAACTGGGGAGGCAAAATGAGAGCATTGCTCCCCAGATAAGAATTTTGCCATCACAAGTTAATTTTCCTAATATCCCGAAATTTCGGAAGACACCGAAAAGCATTCATATCTAGGCCACATGCTCTTGCAAACTTTGGATGCCTCTTTTCTTTGAATTAGTAATCTCTGCTTTCTAAGTACTCAAGCAAAAAATTAAGCTACTACAATGTTTCTAATTTAAGGAACTGAAGGGGCTGAAGGAAAATTTATTGAGGGGTTGGTTTTGTTTGTTTTTTATTTGTTTGTTTGTTTTGCAGTTTTATAGGATATCTTTATCTTGCTCTGTGCTCCATGAAAGCTACATCTCTGATCCCACCTTCATCACTCCCAACATCCATGTGTGTTTCTAACATGTCTGCTGTTACAAGATGAATAATTACTGATGCTTCTTTGGCACCAATTTTGACATATTTTTAGCAATTGTCCAAGACCCACATCTTTAGCCTGCCCTTTCTGAACTGATTTTACTGACTATTTTGTTTTACATTTTTGAGTGATTGGTTATTTTAGTTAGCTCTTGGTGTTTTTGGTTTCAATACTGCCATTTAAAATATGTTAATGCAATTTTAAGAAGTATTTGTTATACCATTTGATGTGTCATTTGATATGGAGAGTAACCACAACACTGCCACCTTGAATATTCTGATGATTTATAATTTTGTCTTTGCGGCTATTTCCCCCACTGGGGCATATTGCATCGAAGTTACATAATTATTGTACTTGTAGCTGTGAGTCCAGTTCATTACCTGAGGGCCAACTTTTTTCCTTTCCATATTTAGCAAAGCTGCTCTTTGGATTACAGACCTATAGCCAATTATTGGGCTTTTAAAAGTCTTTCCAACTTTGTAGAAGCTATGCCCCATTCACACGGCCTTTGAAAATCCTGGATTACCTCCCTGTCTTGACCAGGTGACAGATGTGGGCTTTGTTGTTGCTGCCATCATCATCATTACTATTTGAGACTACTTCATGTCCCATTCAGTCATTGTTGCTGAGGTGACTTTTCTGCTTCCTGGATAGAATATTTATTTACTTTGCAATAGCTTGCTCTACACTGTGTAATTATTAGAAGACTGGCCATAACTGTTCACTTTATTTTGAAGACTAACACATCTATAATCTAATTGTTGTTCTGGTTGCAGTTAGAGATGGGAACGCCTGGAAAAAAATACAGAACAATTTCCCATTTCCCCCTAATTTTTCTGGTCTTTCCCCCAAATTTTCAGTTTTTTGTTCAAGTCTTCCCATATCTAATTGTAGTTATTAAGCAATTGCTGCAGGTTAAACATATTTTACAGCATTTAATATCTGGATAAGCACTTGTGGGAAAGAGATAGCAGGGAAGTTATGTGTTGACTTTCAGTCCACATGCAAGCAAAAAGAGTAACTATCCTTATCAATAAGGTTCAAGAATACCTACATAATCATTTACTTCCATACCAACCTATATGCTCCCTAAAATCATGATATCGTCTCTGTGTCCCACCTAAAGCTGGAGTACAATTGATTAGAAGTGCGATAAAGGGCTTTCTTAGTGCCCTTCCGCACAGCTATATTATCCAGAATATCAAGGTAGAAAATCCCACAATATCTGTTTTGAACGGGTCCACACTCAGATAATATGGGCTTTTCTGCCTTGAAATTCTGGGATTTAGGGCTATGTGGAAGGGCCCTTAGTGGCTGCACCAGTACTGTGGGAGACTGGAGTGGGACTGTTCTCATCTTTGGATCTAACTGCTTTGTGAAGACATGTCTTTTCTAGCTTTGCAGTTTTATTTAAGGATTCTGTCTCTGAATTTAATTGTTTGAAATCAGTTAAACTTGTGACTAGCTAGTTGTATTCATTTCAGCAAGTCTCTCTTGGAAGAACAGATTTAACCATTTGCATATTTAATTTTAATTGTATTTAATTTTAATTAAACATGTAGACTTACAGAATCACACGGTTAGAAGATATCCAAGGGCTAGTGAGTTCAGTCTCCTTTTATCATTGTTTTGAATTGCTGTGACCTACAAATAAACATGCATCTTTTACCATGTCATGGAAGCCTCAGAGGACAAAGAGGTCAAGCAAAAGGTAGACAAGAAATTTATTACCCTTTTAAAAAACAAGTCAAAACATCAGCAGTGAACTCCTGACTCCACCCAGATGATGTGATATTCTTCCTTCGCTATTTAGGGAGACCATATCTCTTCAACTGTAAAAATAACTATAAAGTTACAATTGCAATGCTTGAATTTAGGGTGATGAGAAGCAGAGAACATGAGCAAAAATCATCAAACTACAGACTCCCGAATTCCTTAAAATGTATCCATGCTAGTTGCAATGGAATACTGCTATTATTATGTGGTCTGAAAAAATATGTAGTTAAATTTATGACTCTTAACAAGATTCTACTTAATTAGGAGAAGGTATTTAGAATCTTGGTTAAGAGTCATTATTTATTTATTTATTTATTTATTTATTTCCAGCATTTCTAACATGCCCTTCTCAACCCCCAAGGGGGGACTCAGAGTGGCTTACACCAGGCAACAATTTGATGCTGCAACATAAAACAGATATAAACAAATATAACCACAGTTCAAAACAATAAATAGAACATTAAGTTAAAACAAGTTAAAGTGTTGTTAGCAAACCATATAGCCATTTCCAGTCCGATTCTATTTCCAAAGTGCTGTTATGCTTGCTGTCTGAGACATAAATACAACTATAGTTTAATTATTTTAATAATGACATTTTCACTATATTACATTACAGTAGTAAGTTAATGGAGGATAACGTCAACCCTTTTGCAGTGCAATTGTAACTTTATAGTTATTTTTATGGTTACAGGGATATGGTCTCCATAAACAACAAAGGAAGAATTCACATAATTAAGAGTGCTGTCTATTGCCCCATGTGGTATTGTGTATTGAGGGGAAGACACATGCAAAAGGAGAGGATGTTTTGTATCAAACAAAGCCAACAATCTGTAACATTTTTCAAAATTGACTACAAGTATTTAATGGGCACTTAGACAAACATGAATGAAACTAGACAAACTTAACTAGTTTTGGGGCTTTGGAATTATGAGTCCCCTTCGGTATATGAATAATAATAATAATAATAACCATACAACTCACTTTTTGAAAGGAACTTTCCAAGCTGAAGGCAACTCCTGAACATGCCCACCATACTGTACTGTTTGTCGGACAAGGATTTATGATTGGGATGATAATTTTATGGGAAGGGAGCAGATTTGGTTGAGGGCTCTGATTGCCCTTCATCTCAGCTGGTTTTTGTTTAGTAAGTAGTTATACACAACAACAAGTGGCATGCTTGACAGTTTAGTTGCATTGACTGCTTTTGACAGCTATACTCTAAGGTTGTTATATATTAAGGAAAATATATAACAATCTTTGTTTTTAAAGTCAGATAGCAAGAAAGTGGAGTTGCTACAGAACTGGGTGGTATATTGCCATACTTAGACTGCTGCATTAGATAAGAAGGAAAATTGCAGAAATGAGGGAGCAAAAGGGAATATTATATTGATAAGGACAAGCAGAGGGCAAAGAACCATGTTGATATCATTGTCTATGTGCTTGCATTTGCATGCATATTTCCTCCCAGCATTACTGTGCTTTCAGAATGAGATTCTGCTTTTTCTTTAGAGATTAGAAATGATGTGTCTGAGCTACAACTTCCAGCATTCACAGACAGCACTGACTGGTCTTGGTGGCTGAGGACATGGGAGGTCTGGCTCAAAAGTAACATTTCCAAGCTTCTCTCCTAAGACAAGGCACCCCCCTGGAGGGGAAGGGGGGATTTTGAGTTTTAAATGCTATTTTAAGTGTGTTTGTTATATTTTAATTTTTTACCTTAATCCACACTATTTAATTGCTTTTTAAAATTTTGAATTGCGCTTTTTAAATTATGACTAAAGTGTGGGATTGTTAACTGTCTTGAGTCCCCAAGGGAAGAAAGGAACAGTATAATTAAAGTAAATCATCATAACCAGCTGAGCTGTAGCCAGCTGGCTAATCATCAGCAACAATAAATCTTACCAATTAAAAGGTTAGCAGTTCGAAGCCCGGAGTGAGCAGCTGACCTTCAGCCCAGCTCACTGTCCACCTAAGCAGTTCGAAAACAGCTGTGAGTAGAGAAATTAGGCATCAGAAAAATGAGCAACGATTTTAGTGTGACGACTGACCATTATAGTTATTGATTGTAATTGCTGTTTTAATGTTTTACTGTAATATGTATTATGATGTTTTATTGATTGTATGTGATATTATGGTTGGAAACCGGTCTGAGTCCCTCAAGAGAAATGAGAAGGTCAGTATACAAAACTTTTAAATAAATAATAAATATATAAAGGAAGGAAGAAGACTGTGATCAAGAGCTCTTCATCATAGAGGATGGAGCAATAGCACCACCCTGTGGCAAGAATCAAGCACAACCTCCAGGATGCCGAAGCTGGGAAAAATGCTGACATAATACCTCTATCTGTTGTCTGTCCTGTTTGTTTAATGGCATTGAATGTTTGCCATGTATGTTTTGTGATTTGCCTTGAGTCCCCTTCAGGGTGAGAAGGGTAGAATATAAATTCTGCCAATAAATAAATTGTTATAATCACACCATCACCTATCAGTTTTTCAGCTCTGCCTTGCCCTTGTGAATGTTAATTCTTTTCTCCTACTTTCTCTTCTTCTGTTACTCAGTAACTTTTTTATATTTCCATTTTTAAAGGGATTTTGGAAATTCACAATGAAAACAAAGAGGGCAAATATAAATTCAAAATATTAAATAACAGACAATGGCTTGGGAATAGAGGGGGGAAAGTGGGAGTAGGGGAGAATCCTGCCCCCAACATTACTTTACCTGATACAGAAATGGAACAGACCCCAAGGCACCAATATAGGAGATGGGAAAATTGAAGGATTGCAAGCTACTGATGTTAATTGTGAGAGGAAGCAAACCAGCAGTGGGATAAGCACAGTGTCATGGTGACAGCTTCAAGACCACATTGCCTGTCTCATGCAATAAAGTCCTTAAAGACATTTTCCAGAGAGTTTTAGTGCTTCTGTACATTCCAGACTGCTGTTAAAGTTCCATTGAAGTGTTGCCGGCACTTCTGACTCACAGCATTAAAGCATTAAAGTACAAAAGAGACCTTTGGGGAAAATGTAGTACTTTAATGCTTTAATGCTGTGACTTTTCTATCATTGTACTTGCTTATTTTGATGTCCGGTCATAACAGAGACACAGATTGACATTGTGACGTATTATATTTTGTTCCAGGAAGTGTGTGTCCATTATCTTTTGGCTGTATTGTGTTATAATGATAAAATGGCCGGTTCTCTCACAAAAGGAGTCAGTCCACAGTCAATGCACAATGCAACTGATGCAGTAGGGGTTTGCTGACAGTGTAAACGTAGCTATGTTGAAATCATTGGGTTGATCAGCTGAATGTGTCCATATTCAAGCATTCACATGAATTGGATCATCATGCTTATGGCATAGTATACTTTGGTTTTAAACTTCCGTCTTCAGCTTAGTTTTAGATTATTTCTGCAGTTTTAGGCTGAGGTTGTGGCTTAAAAGACAAATCCTGCATTTAGGATGTTTCTGTCAGATAAAAATGATTACTGGGGACAGGAGGGGAGCTCTACCCCAAGATCTGAATCCCCACTTGGCCATGGAAACCCATTGAAGACCTTGAGCAAGATTGCGGCTAAAAGCATCAATATGGAGCAAAGATATAACCAACACTTAACAAAACCTCTTGTTTCTTATGACATTCCAAAAGAGTCTTCTTATAATGTAATGACCACATAAACAATAAAGAGGAACCCCTTAAATCAAGAGGGCCATTTGGATTTAGATGTGTACCATACTTAATAGATATGGGCATTCCAGTGCAGGCCAGATTAAAAGGTGCAAAACACCAGTATATTTTAGGTTAAAAATGTCATGCCAGTAGCTTATCCTTAGGAGAAACATTTCAGCTTTTTAGAATTGATTTTTTTACAAACTACTAAACCACAATATCATAGCCATTTGGCTGGCACTGGATGGTTGGAAGGCCAGATTTGGTATTAAGTTCACAAATAGCTCTGGTAGGGAAAGGCAAATGAGAGCATTGCCCCCAGATAAGAATTCTGTCCACCCCATGACATACATTTTCCTTCAACACTCAAATTTGTAGCATAACAAAAAGGGAGATATTGGAAATCATTTAGTCAGAAATCACATATTTGCAGTTTGCATTTCCCTGGTACATTTACCTGCCCTCTTTTTTAGGTCCCTGAATTGTCTTTCTAAATATTCAACTTGAAGGTTTAAATTACACCAATGCTAAAAATTAATTTGGTAGAATAGAATTCTTAGCTACACCTTTGGCCCTGAAACCTGAAGTTCACCACTACCAGGTTAAATATTTCCCATTATATTGCGAGATATTTTTGTGGATTGAGCAGGAAAACAGTTGTTGTTGTTGTTGTTGTTATTATTATTATTATTATTATTATTTTCTAACAATGTGTGTAACCTTACACTAGCCCAACCTGCTAGAGGAAGCACTGTCTCTAGAGTCAGAAGATTCATCTGAAGAGGAAGAGGACTCAGTCAGGACAAACCTAGATAACCCAGCCTTGTTCACAGAAGAATTTCATCAGCCTGTGCTGAACGGACAAAGCAACATCATGCACTTAGAAGAAATACAGAAGGTAAATCTATTGCCCACTGGGAAAATGTATCTAACTGGGAAAAGCTTCGATGGATTGCATGAGATGAGCTCTTCTACAAATTTCTTGAGCATTTCTGTCCCTTAGTACCCCAAGAGACAAGTGTTTGGTAGGATAGAAATAGCATTTTCAAACAATGGCTCACTTGTGGATAAACAGCTTCCAGAAGTTGATAAAGGTGTGAAGGGGACTTACAGCCAAAATATTTTGCTGTTTGAAATCAAGGACAAGATGGCCTGTGGTCCCGCTCCAGGAGTCCATACATAAAAGCAGTTGATCAGCAGCTGAATTTTATTTCAGTATGAGTGACAAGACAATATATTTCTCTGTAATGAAGAGTAAATTCGAAGGCATTGGGCAGGGCATGTTGTTCATGCAGGCCTATCCAGTCTGCATTTTTTCCATATCTACTGCCTGAGGTGTCTGCCTCATTCTTCCTAATGGAATGGGCCTCCTAGCCAAGGACAAAGCTGTTCAACATAAGATGAGCTGAGTTGTGGAGTAGAATAGACTAAATGAGTGGGTGGAGTATGCTGTGATATATGAATAGGCCAAAGGAAGCGGGGCCCTGAGACTCTTGTGGCCCTCAAGTCTGTTTTTGTGTTCCTCAATACTTCCAGATTAGCCTTAAAGAAGTTTCCTCTCCTAAACAGCAATTTACCTTTTGGTAAATTTACCTGTATCATTTAACCTTTTTTCAAAACCAGAAGTAGATTGCTGGAAATTTCCAGAATTGTTTTACTTTTGCATTGACAGTCCCTGCAACCCCTAACAGGGTTTAGGGGCAGAAAATTATTCCCCAGTCCTGTTGGTGTTGTCCACCCTGGTATAAGAAGTAGGTAGACTATCAAGAGGATAAAGTGAGGTATATGATCTTCTCTATATGCTTTCTTTAGCTTGCACCACATTTACCTGTACGAGTGATAGGACACCCGTGGAACCTCATCTACTGTACCGCACGGGATGGGTTTAGCCTGAAGTCTATGTATCGGAGCATGAGTGAGTTGGCTTCCCCTGTGTTGTTGGTTATCAGAGATACTGATGGCCAGGTAAGCAGGAAGAGGACAACAAATCTCAACTGTTTCCTATATGATGGTCATGTGAAAGGAAAATAATTAACATATGCAACTATGAGGTTTTTGCCCAAAGCTTTTCCCCACTTGAGCCATTATTTTGCACCTGATTTAGGGTGGTGGACCTTGAAGTTTCAGTAAAGAACTAGATTGCACAGTCTCAAAATCTGGCCATGCATATATTGCTATATTTTTTATTTCTCTATCTTCCTGTTTTCCTGTCTTCTGCCATTTCTCCAGTCCACCCAGTGGCTTACAAAAGTTAATACAGACATAGTTAAAACTTCGCATCATACAACATTTTAAAAATTTAGTTAATCTATCAATAGAATTGAAACATATGCATTAAAAAAGAAAATAAAAATCATTACAGACAGTGCAGCCCATTGTGTTCAAGGTATTGCCCCATGAACAGTCAGTCCTCAAGGGTCTTTACCTGCCTATGAGGTTGTCCCTTTCTAGGAAGAGTGCCAAAACTAAGCAGAGCAATCACAAAATATATGTATTTCTCTGCTGGGTGGTTTAGACTAATGACCAATAGTGCCCTTTATTATCACAATTCTCAGGTTTGCTAGAATTTGGAAGGAAATCCGTGACTTTTGGGTAACAACCTATGCCAGAAATAGAAAGTACTGTATTGTAGTTAGTTATGGTTGAGTAGCTCACTATCTATGCATGCTTTCCTGCCATTTGAAATACCTTTCTTTTGCATCTTTTCCAGATATTTGGTGCCTTTTCTTCCACAGCCATTCATGTCAGCAGCTGCTTCTATGGCAATGGAGAAAACTTTCTCTTCTCCTTCACTCCACAACTAAAGGTGACCAAAACCATGCTATTTTCCCAAGTGTGGGATCTGCTAGGATGTGTTCATAGTTTTACTAATGTTGCTTCCCAATTATTTGACATGATAGTAGACTGGCCACCTCATAAAGATTCCTTATCACTGTAAGGTTCTGAACCACCATTTGGCATCACTTGTTATAGCAAATCATTACTTCGGATGCTTCTATGTTAGAACCGAGACATTGCTTTCCTGCAACATGGAACTCTGGCACTTTGCAGCTTTATCTTGTTCCCAAATCAGATATGTGGGAGTTTAATACAGGGATGAGGAAGAATTTATGGTCATAAGATGAAAGGTTTTCAGTAGATGAAACAAAGGACAGAAGATGAATGTAGTTCTTATCAATTAAAAAAGTTCCACACCAAGCATATAAAATGCAATGTTATGCTTGTCTTCTCAGGAGAAAGTGCTAAGAATATCAACTTGAAAGTTTGGCTCCTACTGTGCAACAACCCAACATTTTGATGTCCACTTATTTGGTATCACTAATCAGAGATAAGAGCAAAGAAAATGTTGGGTCAGATAGAGATTTCCCACATTGTTCATTCTACTTAATGGACAGAGGTTTTCTGTTTCTCACCAAATTTGTACAAAACGCTAGTATAGTCTTGAAGGAATGGTGCACATTTGGAAGTTTCATATGTCTTCAAAACATCTGAACGTACCATAACAATTGTTTCCTTCCTTTAGTCTGAAGAAGCTTATCTCAACTATTTGCTTTTCCCCCTCCCTTCTACTCCAGGTATTTAAATGGACAGGTAAAAATACCTTCTTCATGAAAGGAGATGCAGATGCTCTAGCAATTGGTGGAGGCAGGTATGTACTTTGAAAGGTGGCTAATTTTGTGGGGAAAATAGTTTGTTGAACATGATAATAATTTATGTCAGATACAAGTGGGTAATCCAGTTAAGCCATTGGGATTGTTTCATATTCATGATCCCTGTAAAGCCCCTATTTGGGGACTGTAATGTAAAAGTCCTCCAATCCTTACTCTGTGGGCGGCAGCCAGTGTGATTGATAGGATTTCCAGTCCAACCCCCTGCCAAGAAGCAGGAAAATCACATTCAAAGCACCCCCGATAGATGGCCATCCAGCCTCTGCTTAAAAGCCTCCAAAGACAGCCCCCACCACATTCCGGGGCAGAGTTCCACTGCTTGAACAGTTCTCATAGTCAGTAAGTTCTTCCTAAGGTTCAGGTGGAATCTCCTTTCCTGTAGCTTGAAGCCTTTCTTCTGTGTTCTAGTCTCCAGGGGAAAAACAAGCTTGCTCCGTCTTCCCTATGACTTTCCCTCACATGGCCATCATGTCTCCTCTCAGCCTTCTCTTCTGCAGGCTAAACATGCCCAGCTTTTTAAGCTGCTCCTCACAGGGCTTGTTCTCCAGACCCTTGATCATTTTATTCGGCCTCCTCTGGACACATTCCAGCTTGTCAACATCTACCTTCAATTGTGGTGCCCAGAATTGGACACAGTGTGATTCCAGGTGTGATCTGACCAAAGCAGAAGAGAGGGGTAGCATGACTTCCCTGGATCTAGAGACGCCTATTTATGCAGACCAAAAAATCCCATTGGCTTTTTTTGCTGCTGCATGACATTGTTGGCTCATGTTTAACTTGTTGTCCATGAGGACCCCAAGATCTTTTTCATACGTACTGCTGTCGAATCAGGCATCTCCCATTCTGTATCTTTGCATTTCATTTTTTTCTGCCTAAGTGGAGTATCTTGCATTTGTCACTGCTGAACTTCATTTTGTTAGTTTTGGCCCATCTCTCTAATCTGTTAAGATCATTTTGAATTCTGCAGCTGATGTTCCCACCCATCAAGCAATCTCTGGTATGAGGAGCAATTGCAACAGGGTTCTGCTACCTGTTGTACCAGAGATCACTCACATCACAGATGACGGAAATGGTAGCCAGCTATTTCTCAAGCAAATGGAGAACAGACTATTAATAGCAGCAGCTGCTTTTTCTTGGAGATGAGGAAGTCAGGCTGCAATTAATTGTGTAGCATCGTAACTAGTTACACATAATATACCTGCTATGTAGGAGATATTTCTCTTGCCATGATATCCCAACATATATATTTGGGATGTTTCATTATCTCTTTTGGGATCAAGAACTCACATTTTGAGTTGGTGAAATATTTCACCAGCCTAGAAAAAGTAACTTAAGCTATAAAGGAAGTTTCCATAACCTATGCTCCCTATCTTTATTCAGTTCTAATGCGACTGTCATAAATCACAACCTTTTAATTGCTTTAATTTGCAAAATTAAAATGTGATTGATTACTCCAAGAATAGAGGCGGGGGGGGGGGGGGGGGGAAAGAGAGAATGGAAGTCTTTTCTGCATTTTTAAAAAATCCCTTTAAAATCCATCATTGCTGTTTTGAAAACCTGTCAACCTTTCCCCGGGAGAAGTCACTTGGATCATTCACAGAATGTGTATATAACCATCGTACCATGAATAGTTATATGCACAGTTGGAAGAGCCATCATAAAGCCTGTCAGAATAAATGACTGAAGCAGTACCATTTAAATCAGGTCCCAGCACAAACTAGCACCATCCACTACCAACTCTTCTTAAATCAACCCAAGCAATAGAGCAAGTGGAGAGTGAGGAGATCCTTCCAGAAGAATGCTCTGGATGACACAAGCAAATGAGTTTATGGATGAGATCTTGTGTTTTATAAGAATACCTCATACAATGTTTTTTCCACTTATTTTACAGTGGCAAATTTGGATTGTGGCTAGATGGGGATCTTAACCATGGAGGAAGTCATCCTTGTGAGACATTCAACAATGAGGCTCTATCTCCTAAAGAGGAATTCCTCATCCAAGATTTGGAAGTTTGGGCACTCTCTTAAACCAAAGGGAAAAATGTCTCAAGCTTCCCATGGTGTGGACAATGTGAGTGCAATGGGATCAAGGTTTAATGAAGTATTCCTCTTGGTGTGGATTCACAACTTCCCTTCAATGGAGCATCAACCTGTCTCAGATTTCCTGTCTGTCTATAAATTGACCAGGAAGCAAATATTGAAACATCCCACAAATGCTCTCATAGTCTAGTCCCTTCTCAAATATTCTCCCTTTCTCAAGTTAGAAATGCTATTTTCTAGTGTTATGGCCCTAGAAAGATGGGCTAGGTGGGTCAGTTGTTTCAATGCCTCAAAGTTGCCGTTTGGTCTATTCATTCCAGCATAAGAATGGCTGATAATCCGCATAAAATCAAGAAAAGCTTTTCTAATAGTTACGTTGTACACTATATAAGTATTCGCAATCCTTTATTGGAGGAAGAGCCTGGACAGTTCATTGCCGTACATGTTACCTACCTTACTGAGGTGCAGATCCAACCTATCAAAGGATGGACTAAGCTTCCTATTGTTGTTGTTGCTATTATGTACCTTCATGTTGACACTGACTTACATCAACCTTATTGTAGGGTTTTCTTGACAAAGCTTTATTCAATGGAGTTCACCACTGTCCTTCCTTTACTCTTCCTGATTCTGTTAAGAGTGGCAGGAAATATAGGTTGCTTACCTGTAAACATAAGTTTCCTGAGTGGTCACCTGCGGATTTGCACATATGGTTTATGCCTGCGCTCGCGCAGGAATAAACCATATGTGCAAATCGCAGTGACCACGAGGGGAAAAATACAATATCCTGTGATTACTACAGGCACTAGAATGTGAAAGCTCTGGACAAGTTTTCTTAGGAGTACTCTCTAGTTGTGTGATAATATGACTCTGTTGCTCAACAAATGCAACTCATAGCATAATGCTATCACTGAAGAATACTGAGAGTTGCATCTGGTGGCATATGATTCTTCTTTATATCATCCTTGCCCTAAGAGAAAAACAGAACTAAAATACTGAGCTGAGTCTAAGGGACACATACATCAGCACTTATTGGTATGATTCCAAACTTAAATTGGTTCATTAGAATGTACTTCCTTTTCTTAAAATGCCTATCTCCTCAATTGTGGAAAGAAGAGAGACCCTAAAAATACCTCTGTTTTGGAGGTCACCTTAACTGATTTCACAAAGGACAACATACTGCAGTTCTAATGATGGATCACAGGAGTTTCTATCAAAGTAAGAGACACTACAAATCTAGCAAGATATATTTCACAGTAATTCTTTCAAGAAAGTGAATTCAAACTTCAAAAAATATATATTTACATTTTTAGCTTACATAGGAATATGTGTTTTTTTAAAAAATGTTTAATATTTAACTGGCTAAAGCAAAAGAATAATTGATCAAGAGGTTCAGCAATGGGGGTGGAGCACAGATCTACAGGCCAAATAGGATTCTTGAACTGCATTTGTGCTGCACTCACCACCCAGTCATACAATTTCTTTACTGGGAAACAAAGAAAACAAAGAAAATGTGCCTTCTATGTTTATGTTTCCTGCTGTGGCAAATGCAGCCATGTCAGGGAAGCACAGGTTGGCAATGTGGTTTGAATTGGAAACACATTCAAGATTTTTTAAAATCCATGAAAATTCCATTAAAAGGAAGATTTAAGTATTGTATTATTTGTCCTTAAGAATGATTCTATTACGTAAAATTCTCAATGAGAACACACAATACATATAACAATCAAGGAAAGGAGCTATGCTGTGAGAGATCACCTATCAACTAAATGTACTATTCTGAAGCTACCTGAAGCAGAGAGCAGAATCCTGAATTTCCGCTCTCCATTCTGAAATGAAGAAAAATGCATGGTGGATGAACTGTTTTTCTGCCTCTGATTTCTTGATGCACTGCTTGCGGAGTTCTCACAAGATCTACTCAAGCACAGGCTATCATGCCACCACCTGGGTAGGAGAGATATTATAATAATACTTGGCACTTGTGTACCTGTTTTTGAAAGATTGTAAATAATATCCTATCAAAGATCTTTGAAAAGTCACATGTTATAGAATTCTACACATTCTCAAAGACAGAGCTCAATAAATATTGTAAGCTGATATTGCAAGTTTTCCCATAATATTCCAGTTGGAGACTTCCTGATTTTCTTCAGGTTTGAAGTTGACACAACACACATTTGTTCGGTTTTATAATATATGCAAGCAGTAAACTTAACTTCAACCATTAGAGAGCTTTTATTTCTGTGCTGTAAGGGTCACAGACAAGGCTTCCTATTCTGAAATTGCAAAATGTAGTTTCTGTAACATAAACAGGGATAGCAATTCAGCTTTACAGATTGTTGTATGTGTAATCACCTTGCCCTCTTCATTTGAACCGGAGCATAGAAAACTTAACATGTAACTAAGGATGTATGAATAAGATTTCTCTCTAACTGTGAGGCTCAACTGATACCTGAGTGTGCAACTCTGGCAGAACTGTGAACCATTTTTGCCCCAGTAGCTGCTACAGTAGTCATAAAAAAGGGGGAGGAGGAAAAAAACTTTAAGTGACCACTCACTCACTTCCATTTTTTACTTTTCTGTTTTTGGAAGGAGGTGGGAGACTCTGTCATTCTTAAAGGAAGCAAGCCTAAACCACAATTCTTGGAGCTTCCAAGAATAGGAAAACGATACCTCGTGGTTTTTCCCCTAGCTCTGGAGGGGTACTGAAAGCTCTGAGTTATGAGGCACCAAAACAGGCTCTTGGAGAGCTATATGAAGCCCTTGGGCTGCCCTTTGACCATGTAATGCTGTACAATTCTTGGTACATGGGTCCCAGTGGTGTATGTGTCAGTAAGGGGAAATTCTAGCTTCAGCTGGTCCAAGTAAAGCTTTATAGAATTGATGATTTGCCATGTAGACTTTTCCATTTCTCTAGAATGTTGGAAGTAAGTCACACTTCCCTAATAGCATAAATCTTTGTTTTATCTGTGAATGAGCAAAGCCCTTTTACTCATAGAAGACTGTCCCTGAATTTGACCTAAAGATGAAAGTTGTCTTGAAGCTAACTAGACGATATTAAACTGGAGTTGAATGGGGGAAAAAACTCTGCAAAGATAAAAACCTGCATTCTCACACTTAAGAGCACGCGCTTCACATATACAAAATCATGTTTGTCAATATAAAGTGCATTATCACAGATTTAAAGGAATATGTTATTCCATACCAATACATTCAGATTATCTGGGGAAATAAGAGACAGTAAGAATACAATCTATGTCAACCTGAGGTAGCCCCAGTGCTATCAGAATAATCCTTTTCTATGGGCTGAGAGAACTGATCTCAGGGCCCTTTCGCACAGCCCTATATCCCAGAATATCAAGGCAGAAAATCCAACAATATCTGCTTTGAATTGGGTTATCTGAGTCCACACTCAGATAATGTGGGATTTTCTGCCTTGATAATCTGGGATATAGGGCTGTGTGGAAGGGCCCTCAGAAAGAGCACTGATTGTCCACTCCCATTAAAACCTCCATAACCTTTCCCCCTCCAGCTTTAAAGCTCTTTGCAAAAAAGTCTTTGCAAAAAAGGAAATGGAGTTGGGAGTCTGATGTCCATGATTCATGAACCTAACACATGGTCCCAATGAAAGGGATTTTAAACAACCCTGAAAAGAAGTGCCATTCCTCCCTTTTCACTCCATCAATATGAGCCAAACTGGGCTCTGGAGTTTCCAATATCTGAGATCTGCTTCTTTCCATACCTGATCTCCACCCTAACAGGACTCCAATACCTGAATATATTGTAGTGACTTTGAAATGTAGGAAGTAAAATCCTATAATTAGACATGTCCTTGTTCCTTTTAGATTATTTTATGTTTAGTAGACTTGTTGTTGTCAGCATTTTCTTTGGTTATTAAAAAAATAGCCGCGAACTCTGCATTATTGTATATTCAGCTCTATCGTAATCTGAGAAAAAGGCTTAGGGTCTTAAAAAAAGACTGTGAATTAAGGAAGTGGCACAAATTTTCCCTCATCTTCCTTGACAACATTATATATATATATATAGTGTTGCTTCAATAGCAAACTAGTCAAGTTTAAAGATCTTAAGAAAATTAAATAAGGCAAGGCTAGAAAGCCAGTCTTTTAAAAATATATGAGATTTCTCAAAAGTATTTGAAACTGGCTTTAGAAACGACTTACACTTATTTCTTTAAGCTGGCAGTAATTATCTCTTGAAAGTTAATTAACTAGTTTTAAGAAAGCAATGAAGCATGATAAAATGTATATACCAAGACATTTCCCAATGCTGATTTCCAGGGGCACAGTGCAGATTCAGTCTGTAGTTTTTCAAAATATACTTTAAAAAAACTTAATATTAAAAAAATCTGCCCATCTTATTTTTATAACAAAGCAATTATATTTAAAAAAAGATATAACAAAACTCAAATCATACAACAGGCATTAACGTTGATTCAGTCACTAAAAAGTTTGTGTCTGGGCTTTAAAGAGCTACTTGTCCCCACTGAACTGTGCTTTTCACCATCTTCATTGAGAGTCCAGTCTTTTTTCAGTGGAGTCATTTCTGGGGCAACCACATCCACATCCTGTGAAAGCATCAAAATGAGGGAGAGATCATTCAGTCTTGCACCAACAGCTGTCAGCACATTCTATCCTTTTTCTCTGAGAAGCAGCATAAAAGTAAAAAATTCAGAGGTTTCCCACACAATATATTCCATGGAGAAAGTCCAATATGGCATCAGTTATCAAAAAAATACTGAAAAATAAAAACAAAACTCATTCAAAACAATTAATTGAAAACCAAGAGTGCTGGATAACACAAATAAATCAGGAAAATGTCTGGATCAGCATTTCTTAACCTGGGGGTCAGGACCCTTGAAGGGGTCGCGGTGGGGGTTTCAGAGGGATCAACAAAGACCACCCAAAAAACGGTGTTTCTGATGGTCTTGAAAACCTCTTTAGCAAAGAAGGCTGAAGATCTCTCCGCCCGTCCTTCTCTTCGCTTTTGGAAACATGGCGAATCCTCCCACCAAAAACCCTCCTCCTGCTTTGATTGGCTGGACCCTCAGCCAAGGGAGGAACTGTTTCTGAGACTTGAAGCGGGGAGGGGAAAGCAGGCATGCTCAGAGCATGACAGCATGGTGCGCATGTGCAGGCAAAGGAGAGCGTGCGAGGCTGGAGGGAGGCTTGTGCCAGCGAGTCCCTTCAAGGCAGAGGAGAAAACACCCGCGCGACATGAGACTGACATCATTAATGGGGTTCAAGGGGCTCTTTGTAACTGAACTATAAATCCAAGCAACTACAACCCCCCCCCCCCCAACATTCAAATTTCGGCATATCAGGTATTTGTGCCAAATTTGGTACAGTGAATGAAAATACATCCTGCCTATCAGATATTGACATTACGATTCGTAACAGCAGCAAAATTACAGTTATGAAGTAGCAACGAAAACAAATTTATGGCTGGGGATCACAACATGAGGAACTGTATTAAGGGGTCACGGCATTAGGAAGGTTGAGAACTACTGGTCTGGATGAACAGGTAGGTTTTAGTTGTTGGCAGAAACATCCAATGTCAGATTCTTCCTTAATGTAACTTCGAAACCATTCCACATAACGGCTGCAATAACACACAGCTCTCTGTATATATACCATGATTTGATAAACAAGCCATGTTGCCTGCTAAAAACACTAGGAAAGTAGCCTATGGGGGGACCTGGATTTTCACCCCTCCCAAAAAACAGCTAAAAATCTGGAAAACACTGGGGGTTTTTTTTGGGGGGGGGGGGTTCTGTGGAGATTCCAAGGGTCACATGCAAGCCATTTCTTACTCTGGCACCAGAACTATTGAAAACTGACACAGAATACAGAAGATTGAYCAGATGTAGAATAAAAAGTATTCTGAGAAATAGCCAGATAAGTGTCTCTTCAGGGATATGGGGCATATTTTACTGTAGCCTTTATAATTTAATTTGAAGATAGTCTCAACATAAATATCTGATTACTTAATACTTTCTTACCTGTGGTTTACTGAAATCATTGTCTATGCACCATTGATAAAAGTGTTTTTTGGCAGCATAAATAATGTCTTCATCGGTTTTCTTACAATAAACCCTGATCACTTGTTCAGCAAATTTTTCTGGCAGAAGCTGTGAAACCTTAAGACAGAAGGCAAACAGAATTAAAACATGCATCCTATTCCTTTATCAACAGGTCAGAGCAAACTCCAATAATTTTGTAATCTTTCGACCTTCCTACAAGCAAAAGAACATAACATTTTGAACAAATATAAAAAGACAGAGCTTTCAGTTTTTACAGTGTGATGCACAATAAATTTTGTTTTAAAGTATACAGTATATACAGTCAGCACTTAGAAAACAGATCATACTGAAAATGTGCTGATACATCATGCCATTCTTGCAAATATTCAAACCCATCAAAATAGCTTTTCAAGCTTCTACTTACTTGTTCCTTAGAAATTTGGATCGCCTTAGTAATGTCAAACTTACAGTAGAAACGAACATTATTGATAGGATTTTTCTCTTTCATTCCATAATCCATATTGATAACCTTCACAGAGGTAAACCAAATATTTAGTGTATTTACATATATTGTAGGCATGAGTGCAAAAAAACAAACAAAACAGACATGTATTTATTTTAAATAAATCATGCTTACATCAACAATAAAGTCTTCAGCGTTCAATTCAACACGGTTCAATTCAGTAAATTTTGGCTTAGCTTTAACTATTTCAGAAGGTAGGCTATCACACAGTTCCTGGAAAGAATAAAATGTTTTATTTTTTAAAGTGTTCAATTGATTGATAAGCACATTGTTTTCAGAAAGCGATCAAATAAACTAACAACTTGATGGCAAGTGCAGCATCATTTTCAAAGGAATCCCTGCTCTATTATTCTTATTATTATATTTATTATATTTATACCCCACTTTTTCTCTCATCAAGGAGACACAAAGCAGCTTACATTAAATGCATTTCAATACAATTTAAAATCTACAAATTTCATTAAAACAAATACAATTGGTATTTTAAAAATTCAGTTAAAATCCATAAAATATATTCAAAAGACATATTTCTTTTTCATTCTTCATACAGTGAACAACGATAACCTCCAAAATAATGATTATTTTTGAAGTCAGAGATAACATATCACAGTTGGTTTTGCGGAAAAAGCAACAAAATTGCCTTTTAATTTCCTGACATATTTCATGCATTATATTATGTAACACGATTTTTGTTCCTGGGTTATAAATGTCATTTCCTATTTGGTTCCATCATGAAAACACGGAAAAAGTTTATTAAACTGCAAAAACTATTTTGTGGGACATTCTGCAGCACATTTTGCTGTAGATGTTAAATGAATATCTCGTCGGGTCTCAACCACTTAAATGTAGTTTGTGGCAGTCACAAAAATGAAGTTTCTGGAGTATAACAACTACTGTATATACTCGAGTATAAGCCGACCCAAATATAAGCCAAGGCATCTAATTTTACCACAAAAAAATGGGAAAATGTATTGACTCAAGGATAAGCTGAAGGTGGAAAATGAAGCAGCAACTGGTAAAGTTCAAAATAAAAATAGATACCAATAAAATTACATTAAGTAGGCATCAAAAAGTTAAATGTTTTTGAATATTTATATAAAACTGTAATTTAAGATAAGACTGTCCAACTCTGACTAAACCATTATTCTAACCTTCAGTGTAAATGTCCTTACGTAGCCTTCTAATTATAATAGAGTGAAATAATATATGTAATTATAATAATAAGAGTAAAATAATGTAATTGTAATAACAATAGTAGAGTAAAATAATAAATGTAATAATGACAATAATAGAGTAAAAATATAAATGTAGTAATAATAGAGTAAAATAATAGTAACAACAACAACAACAGAGTAAAATAATAAATAATATTGACTTGAGTATAAGTTGAGGGGGGATTTTTAGCCTAAAAAAAGGCTAAGTATATATGGTACTTTCAAAGTACCGCACAATTAAATAGAAAATAACACTTTCAAAGCAGGAACAGGATTTTTTAAATTTTTTTACATTGTGTTATTCATTTGGAAGTATAAAATCAATAGGTAAGGTAATTAGAATGCAATGACTGGCATTGTTAGGGGCATATATAAGTTTCCCTTCTATGTGCATACGTTCTTTTTGGGGTGCTGTACAGAGAAGTAGACCATCCGTCCCTCGCTCTGTAACACCTAAAATCTGTACTGTACAGTCTCAAAAGCCACCCCCCCCCACCACCACCACCACCACAACCAAAGGAACCTCCAAAGCAATGCTTACCTTTTTAATTTCCTTGCCCTCTGGAGGCTGAGTCTGTCCAAGGAATTTATAGAGGTCACGGCGCTCTATTTTACACAAAATGTTTCGTGCTGCCTCCAGTTCTGGTCGATCAGAGTGTAGAATATTTAGAAAAATCTCATCTGCCAGAATTACAGAAATAAACCAGAAGTCATCAAAGCTAGATGGGAATTTTCCCGTAACTTCGCTTTTCTCAAGGCTATGGACATTCAAAGTTCTTGATCTCCACCATTTGGTAGGGAAGCAAGACTTTAACTCCCCTCCCCCATCCCAGGCTATGAAGATGACTACAGAGTTTCTTTGAGTGCAGGATACCAAGTTTACAAATGGGGAGGGGGGAGGGGGAGGTAATGCTTTGGGTTCCCAACACAGAATAATAATTCACTGAAGAAAAAATAGGAAAACCCACACACATCAAATACCTTTTCCACCAACAGGAGCGTTCTGTAACAAACTTTCCTCAGAGTGCTTTTATAAATGGAACAAATGCAGTATTTGGATTCAATCTCTAATATTCCAATGAATTGAATTTTAAAGCATTATTTATGTGTCTTATTAGGAAACCAGAGGTCCGAAGGAAACACTTCCAAAACCTGATGACTGATGATCAACATTACTTGCAACTAATACATATGTCCATAGCCCATACCTGTTAGCTTAGTGTAAGCTTCCATATCTTCCATTGCTTCAGATATCTTATATCCTTTCCCATCAGAACCCCTTATAATGATATAGGGATCAGCTTTCAAAAAGGCCTCTGTAATCCTGAAAAAGAAAAAAAAACCCACTACAAACTTTTATGGGCTAATTGGTTAGCTCAAATAAAACGTAAGCTTTCTTGACTACCAGAACAACCCTAACTCAAATATATGTTGGCTGCAAAGGATAAAAACCAGGCATACAGCTTTTCTGTCTGGGAGGAGAAAATAGGCCAAGGTAGGATCTGGGTTACACCAAAGTAAAACTTAATCTTGTGCAGGAATGCAGTTGTAACGTCTCTATGACTTTAAGGCCTATAGCTGTGTTTGCACCTTCAACTCAACTGTCAACTTATGGTAAACTCATTAATTTCATAGGTTTTCTTAAGCCAGAAATACTCAAAAGGGTTTGGCCAATTGCTTTGAAATACAGCCTAATGCTACTTGGTAATCACTGATGCCTCCTATCCAAGTACAAACCAGAACTGACTCGGCTTAGCTTCCAAGATCAGACAGGATCTGATGCCTTTGGATATTTAGATCTACTGGCAATTTAAAAGCTCTGTATTGGGAGATTTTGTTCATGCTGCTTCAGCTGGTTTGTGATTCGCTCAACTGACCTTTGGCCTTCTTGGCAAAAAAGACTGCTCTCTAAAGAGGAATTATTTTAAAGTACAAATGCTGGAAGCCATCGATAAGTATTTAGTCTGCTTTTAATCAACCAATATGATCACTGAAGCCAATTAAGCTTTAATTTTTTAAAAAGTCAGAAAATACTTAACACAAAAATATAACTTAAACCAGAATACTTTTTTTATTGGGAATGACAGATATGGGCTGGTATATAAACAAAGATAAGTGTATACTGTTTAATTACATGACAACAGCGGTCAGAATAGTATATGCTAGAACCTGGAGAACAAAAGACAAACTCTCTGTAGATCAATGGACAATAAAAGTACTGGAAATTATGAATATGGACAAATTGAAGCAATTAGTAACAAAATTTCAAGGTGAATACAAGAAAATAACAGACTCTTTAAAGACTATATGTCAAAGAACAAAGGGAACATGATAATTTAGTCCAACTGTTTCAGAAAAAAAATTATTACCCCACCTTAATTTGGACCGAAGAGGGGGATAGTTTGAGAAGTAACTCTACAAAGTCAATTAAATAAACCACAATGCAAATGATTCAAACTCCCGGGTTTTTTTTCCCCCTTTTCCATTCTTTGTTCACCCCCATTTATCTATTCCTATTCCTCTCCCCTTCCCCAGTTCCTTCCCCCATCCATTTTCAAACTTTTCCCCTTTTTCCCCTATTTTATTATTTTTGAAAAATACATATTTTAATTAAAAATATTTATTTAAGAAAACAATTAAGCCCATATGACTACATGAATATTAAAATGCCTTTAATAAATGACACATACATGGTTTCAATGATGTTGCCAACTTTGTGTTGGTAGGCTCTCCGGTGCAGGCAATTCCTTGTGTGGAACATGTCATAAAGATTTCCAACCTCCTAAAGTTGAGGAGAAAAAACTGGCTTTAAACTTACCTATTATTTTGATCATTTAATTTAATTATCAGAGATAAATATACTATAATAAATGCTTTTGTCTTCTGAGGATARCAGGAATCTGAAAACAATTTGAATGAAATCAAATATATGCTATAAATGTATATGAATAGAAGACAAAGCCCAATCAAATATCAAGAGCCTTTACAGTAATACCCTATTTATATTTTGTCAGATGTTACGTCCWCTTACATTTAGTAAATTGTACACCCAGTAAGCAAGTTATTTAGATTAAATGTTTTTATTTGTTACTAAACAACTATAAATGAATTATAAAAGGTCATGGACAACACTCCCCCCACCACAAGATTTTGAAAGATTACAAAGTTACCTTTGGAATTTGAATTGACATCAAACTTAGTGGACAACCTCGACAAAGCCATTATCTTACCTACYTAATAATAATACCCATTATCCATCATAGTTCAAGGACAAAAACAGACAATGTTTCCCCGAGCTTTCAAAGGAGCAGGAGATAAGATCTGCATGAACAATAATTTGCTGAAGATGTCATCAAGTTGCCACTAACTTCTCATTTTTCTTCAAAGCATCTTACCTTGTCACGAGTACAAATATGCTTCTTATTCCCCACTTCACAAACTCGGGCGAATTTAATGAATCGCTGATAGTCAAAATTATTCTGAATTCCAAGATGATGACAATCCCTAAATGTAGTCCAGAAAGAGACAACTAAGATTATTCAGTTATGGAATTTGCAGGGCTAAGCTTTAAWTTTTTTKTAGGAATATAGGGAAGTTTCCATTTTTTAAGACTAAAAACAAACATGGTTTTGCTGAATGGACTATTTGTGCACCGAGGGAAAGAACACTAACATTTACCATACCACAGTGAACACAGGTAAGGGCATTTTTTTCATATTTCCTAAATGTATGCTTACTTGGAGTTTTTCATAATTCCTTCAACAATGTGTTAAAACAACAAACAATTGCTATGATTCTCAATATTTGAGGCGCTTGATGTTTTTGACTTCAACTACCATAATCCCTGAGTACCAGCTGAACTGGCTAATGTTTCTGAAGATTGAAGTCCAAAAAACCAACTGAGAGGAGACATGATAGGTATCTGAAGAAATGTCATGTAGAAGGAGCAAGCTTATTTCTGAAATCAACACATTCAAATCATAGAAGAGATTCCACTTACACATTAGGAAGAGCTGTCCAACAGTGGAGGATAGTCTCTTCCAACATTAGGATTCTAAGAAATTTGGATAACCATTGCTCCATTGAAACCTCTTTCAAAATCACAATTATTTCAGATCTACTAATAATATTCTCTTATAAACAGTGTCATAAACAGACCAAAAAAGTTTTAGAAAATTTATGAGTTAATAGTTTTGAATTAAAGTAGAAAAGTGTATAACTTCAAGAAGGTTGATACTTATAGACACATAAATTTACATAAGAAGATTTATTATGTGTAGATCCTACGTGAATGATAAAGGTAAAGGTTTCCTCTTGACATTAAGTCTACTTGTGTACTACTCCGAAGAGCCGGCATTATCTATAGATGCCTCCAAGATCATGTGGCTGGCATGACTGCAGGGAGCACCGTTACCTTCCTGATCTATTCACATTTGCATTGTTTGACAGAAGCTGGGCCTAACAGCAGGAACTCACTGTGCTCCCTGGATTCGAACTGCCAACCTTTCGGTCAGCAAGTTCAGCAGCTTGGCAGTTTAACCCACTGAGCCACCAGGAGGTCCTTAGGTGAATGATAGATAATTATAATAAGTATTTACATGTTACTACTCTCTTAACAAAAGAAATTAATATTAAGGTATGTATAGAGTTGGCTGCCATAAAGAGTAGAAAAAATAGTTTGAATTACTTAATTGATAAAATAAGGCGAAGGAATACTATGCAAAGTTGGAAGAGAAAAGAAAAAAAGGGAAAATATAAAATGAAAAAATCAATGCAGATTCAGAAGGATAATCTGTTACTCTTATTAGAAAAGATGTCATAGTTAGAGGTTTTTTTTTACTTCGTTTTCTTCCTATACTAAGGAATATGTATAATGATACTCTGTCCTCCTCTATGTCATGGCCGATACAATAGATTAATGTGTAGAATTGTTTAACTAACATGGCTCCATAACTTACATACTATATCCTTTTATGTTTCCCATCTTTCCCTTGTTTTTCCTTTTTACTGCTTATTTATTTTCTTTTAAAAACAAAAACAAAATAAAACTTATTTGACAACAGTGTCATACTTTTTCTAAAATTACTGTGCACTCAACCCAGGCTGTTCATGATTACAACTGATTCTACTAGATGGGGAAAGAATGTATAGGCTGCTATCTCTTATTTTGGATTCTGAAATACCTGTATTTGCATATATGTATATATTGCAAATATACGTATGTGCATTATATACATATATGCAAATACACATATAAATACGCAATCCATTTACATTTCATATAACCCCTGGTGGCACAGCGGGTTAAACTGCCGAGATGCTGAACTAGCTGACCGAAAAGTTGGTGGTGTGAGTAGATCAATAGGTACTACTCCAGTGAGAAGGTAACGGTGCAGTCATGCTGGCCACATGACCTAGAAGGTGTCTATGGACATCGCCAGCTCTTCGGCTTAGAAATGGAGATGAACACCACCCTCCAGAGTCGGACATGACTAAACTTAATGTCAAAGGGAAACTTTTACCTTTACCTATACCCCTAACTATACTTTAAGCAATCTTAGATATTTTTTCCTCCTATTCCCACATACAATTAGCACAAATGTACCATATTTAATCTACTTTATATTAAGCAATACCTAAAAATAATCTATATGAGGGTCTTTCTCCTTGCAGTAAATACACATTCATATTGAGTCACTGATTTTAAAATATTTGCAGATAAAATCCTAGCAATTCATTATTTTTCAACTGCAAAGTATTTCCAAACACTTTAAATTAGCATCAAAATTTCTATACCTGGCAAAGTAATCCCATTTGTCAACATCAATGCCACTTCTTTTGTTAGCCACTATCTCATAAAGAAAACTTTTTTCTTCAGTTCGCCCTTGGTAAGACCACTGGACAAAGAAAAGGAAAAAACTAAGTAAATCAATTGCAAGAACCAAAATGCTACTGAATGAGGGTTTGTAAGAAATAGTTTCCATATAGCTTTGTTCTTACTGAAAAATATTAATTTGTGGTGCCAATAATCTGATCATGCGGACTAGAAAAATGTTGAAAACAAGAATTACAACAAAGTTTCCCCTACAAATCTGAATTAAAAACTCAATACTGTTTCTTTCTTTCAAAGGACGATCTATTGTTCTGCTATTTGAATCAATCTTTTGGTTTGTATTCCATCTCCATATTCCAAAAGCTTGGTTCAGAGTCCGCATCATTTCCACCCAAAGAAATACAATCTTTTAAAGCATTATTCTGTTTTTTACTCTCTAATTATGGCAAATGTGTTCAAAGTAAATAAAATGTCTCTCACACATGTGCTACCTTTCCTCTTGAGATCCCTATCCTAAAAAAGAAATGATCTACTAGTCATTCTGCTAGACTTAAACAGCACTTAAGTAACATGCAAAGATGAAAAATGGGACTCACAGAAGAGTCATCTTTTTTAGATTCGATAGGTCCTGCTATCTGTTCTTTAATGAAGGGTATGTCTTCATTCAGCTTTAGACCATAACTTTCCATTTCAGGCCTTAGCTTGTTGGAAGAGATCAAGTGTTCAAACATCTGAACAGAAGCATCTTCATGCTGCAAAGAAGACAATTCTAATTATTAAGCCAAGCATATGCTGTCAACAAAAACACTACAACTGAATGCAAGAATATTCAAACAATGACTTCCTTCACACATCAAGGAAATAAATAATATGTCTAATCAGTATGATCCACATTATTGCAAAGAAGTTTCTTGTTACCACATTGCACAGGCAGTAAAATGAACACTAGAAAGCTGTAATTGACCACAACACCCAATACACAAATTACTCCCACACAGGTATTATTTGTAAGACAGTAATTTTTGGCCAAAGTTGAACTGCTAGTGCCAACTAGACTAGTTCAATGAATAATACAAATGTATATCAATGTTGGCCCCTGGTGGCGCAGCAGGATAAACTGTTGAGCTGCTGAACTTGCTGACCGAAAGGTTGGTGGTTCAATTCCAGGGAGTGGGGTGAGCCACCGCTGTTAGGTGCAGCTTCTGCCAACTTAGCAATTTTAAAACACACAAGTGTGAGTTGATCAATAGGTACCACTTCTGCAGGAAGGTAACAGCACTCCATGCAGTCATGCTGGCCATGTGACCTTGCAGGGGTCTATGGACAACACCGACTCTTCGGCTTGGAAATGAAGATGAGCACCTCCCCCCAGAGTCTGACACAACTAGACTTAATGCCAGGGGAAATCTTTATCTTTACTATACCAATGCTCACTTACAATTTATCAACTGGCCAGAAATGGATACTTCTGTGGCTATTTCGCACGTATATTCAGAATAATTATATTTAGAATAAAAAAACTTCTATTTTAAACAAATTACAGTAGTCACAATCCTATATATTCAAGTCTTAAAATATCACTAACCATATATACTCATATATAAGTTGACCTAATGTATAAATTAAAGACAGGTTTCAGAGCTAAAATTACATAGATGTCTTGGCTTTTAGGCCTGTTCCTGAGGTCATTTGGAGTGCATTGGAAAGACTGCATTAGCTTTAATTTCTTATATATAGTTATGATGGTTTTCTGTGGGTGAACAGATGGCATAGCTTATGTATCTCAAAAACTAGAGTTAATAAGGCCTCATTTTTGGAATCAGCAGGTCAAATATGCCCAGAAAGAGAACTAACACTTGAGACACCAAAATGTGTGTTGGCCAGTGTTATGGATTTTGATATGATCTGTGACAGCACAATGCTGTCTCAAGGGGGATGGTTCCTTTTTTATATATAAAAGTTAAGGTACAGTATTATAAAAAGGGGGACCTTCTCTGAGCTTAGTTTATCCTCGGAGGAGGGGGGACCCTCCAATCCCTCTATTCTCTTGGTACTCCTCTGAGGGAGAGCAGTAAAGGGTTACTGCCATTTCCCCACCCAAACATTCAAAAACATCAGACGCAGATCAATGCTTCTTGCCTTTCACCCATCTACTGAGAAAAAAGGATGGTTATTTTTTTTCCAATACGAGTTAAGATATAATACAGTACTTACACTCAGTCATGGATAAGTACACACTATTTGGTGGGGGGGTTTGACTAAAATTGTCAGCCCCTGGAAGGTTTTAGAACAAAAGCACGCTCACAAAGGAAGGTCCTCGGAAACAGCTTTATTATTCCTTCTTGCCAAGGAAAATCAAAAGCTAGTTGTGACAATTTCCCACCAAACTAGTAAGATATCATTTAGTTGACCCGTGACCCCTCCTACTATCTATTTCTAACAGCTGCATTCCATTCCCACAAAACATGCTACACTTCTCAGGTTCCCCTCCTCCAGTCCAGATGGCTCTTATCAGAAGCCAGAGTTCTACTCCCAACCAAACTGGCATGGAGTGGACGAAGCAGCTTTTTGGTTCACCTGGTTACGGACACATCCTGACAAAAATTTCTAGTCTTATACATGAGTGTGTGTTGTTGCACACTTTTAATTTATTTGAGGATCACACAATAGTTCTATTATTAACCAAATGAAGACAATATGAATATTATTTTGCATATAGCATACACACCTTCCATTGGAATCCAGGACGAGCCCGTGGGATGAATCTTCCATCAAACATATGTGAAAATGGTCCATGACCTAAAAGGAAAGAAACTGTCATATATAAACCATAGGAAAATGACAGGTACACATATTCATCATTCCTTTTCATTTATATGTACCTCTCAACCAACGATTTCAGTACTATTTCACCCAAGAGATAAACATTTAATTAGGTTTTCAGACTGTATTCCAGCTATGGACCTACCTATTCCAACTGTGAAGCCTTTATTCCTTGATTCAAAATGGGAAGCATGCTTCCAGATCAGCTCTAGTTACACTGCTCTTTTCTGCCTAGATGTATTTTTTATTAGCCCACATGAACTCCTTCACTGATATCAAAAAGCTAACATACGATATGCAAGACGTTTTCCATCAGTAAATATTCACCTAAGGATCCTTTCCCCTCCACACCCTTCAGTGAGGTACACTGCATGAACTTAATGATATGAACCTGACATTTATTAGCTAAGCTTTTAAAATTTTAAATAAAATCTTTTAGTTTTATCCTATCTTTCTGTTATAAACTGAGTTAGAAATTACTGGGCAAAGTAGTATACGAGCATATCTGCTAAGTATTTTAGTGTGGAATAGTAACTTTATTTTCATGTCACATATTCACTTTGTTAAGATATTTGAGAAGCATCTTACCTAAATCATGACAGAGTCCAGCAATCTGAACACACAAAATATCTCTGTGGTTAATATCCAGTTCTGGTTGTCGCTCTTGCAGTGCCCGGACCAAGCAGCCTGCCAGATGGCTAACTCTGTTGCAAGAAAATAAGGTTTCAATTCTGTATTATCTGAAATTTGTTTACAAATAAAACACATATTTGCCAGTTCATCACTGTGGCCAATTGTGAAATGTCACCAGGCTTATTCAACAGTAACCACACCCACTGTAGATGTTATTTACAAAGATGACATTACTGTAATCAATTATCACACTCCACCCATCCCAAAAAATGAAATGGAAACAGAAGACCAGATTTTCTCTTTTCTGAAAGGGGAGACACCATACATTCATTTTCAACTGTATTGCATCTCACAATGTTTAGAACCAACTTTTATTTGGTTCACCTGCAATAAGTGGGTTTTTAATACTTTAAACCACTTTTATCCATGCATATATACTTTCCCATAAGTTCAAAAACATTTAAGTATTTTCCTGAATAGGGTTTCCCTATAAAAGAGCTATACTCTTATTAGTAGCAATTCATACTGCTCGGAGGCGCTGCCTTGTACCACTATTACCAAGTGGCCCAAAACATCCAGGGTCTCTGTCTAATCAAAAACTGGAAGCAAGGAGATCGTTCAACAGGTTAATTTGAACGAATCACCCTGTTGGATGAAAAAAGGAAAAGGGCCACACTGAACTGTGACACAGCTCGGTTTTATAGACAACTCTTTGAGCATGCACACAGGCTCTTTCTATTTGAACCGTGCCTTGTCTTTATCTCTTCCTTTTTTTCTCTTTGGTGCCAACTCTTTATCAGAATTTTCGCAGCAGCTGTTTCTTCTTTCTGAGCCTGCTGGTCACTAGGCAGTGCCTTCTGAACTTTTTACTCTAGCTGGAAGGTCCTTCAATACCAAGTGAATTGCACTGTGCCATATACAAAGAAAGGATATGACAGAGCTGTGAAAGTCAATGGCGCTGCCCTCTATCCATGATGAAGGGGATACGTTTCAGAAAAACTAAATACTTAGTTGTGTCTGAAGTTTATACACCTCCAGCTACTCAATACATTTAGCACACCAGAGGATAAGACAGCATAACATTTTAACTATACAATGTTAGCTGGAACAAATGATGCCATGCATATACACTACTATGGAATTTGCATTTGGCATTTGCTGATGCTCACTGGAACCGCTTTCATTTCAGTATACATTAGTGGCAAAGTATTCTAGCTCAATAAAAAATGGAAGATCTCTTTACCCAAGTGAATGCTCAAACCGATTGTGTGATGCTCCTGGGAAAACATAGTAAGTTCCACCCAACTGTTTAATGTATCGTAAGCGCTGAAACTGAGGTGTGTCGATTATTTTAACAAGCAGAGGGTGCATTTCAATGTGACCATGGACAGGATCATTAAATACCTGAAAAAATATAAATAAAAAAGTATAACAGCTGACCTGTACAAACAAAGAAAATGAATGTATTTTATTTTAAAAAATGAATTTCTGAGACAACCAATACTGTAGGGTTTCCTCATCTCTGTGATAGAATCATAGTTTATTTATTTATTTACTATATTTATATACTGCCCCTCTCAGCCCAGAGACAACTTGGAGCGGGATGACCTCATGGGTCAACCAGTTCAACCTCCTGACAAGAAGCAGGGAAATCATTCATAGTCACAGATAGTTATCAGAAATAAATATAGATATATACCTGATCACCAACAAAAGTGTTAAGTATTTTTATTATTTGACAATTCAACTGGTATCAACATGACACATATTTAGAGACTGGAGGAAAATATTTGCACTGGTTTTCAGTATCTCTTCGGCAACTTGCTATGGTGACCAAGCAATTCTGGAAGTTGTACTCCAAATAGCAACTCCCCCACTCTCAGCAAGTATGCAAAATTCATTGTACTGTGATATATTTGAGCTAATTTGAGAAAAATAATCTTAACTGGAAGAATTGGCAAAGGATGCTTTTTCTTGCTATCTATCCCAAAACCATTTCAAAATTTATGAGACTGCAAGAAGAATCCTCTACTGCCACAAAGTCTCATATTTATGAAATTCGATTCACATTTGCTCTTACACCAAATAGGAAATACCAAGATACTGCACTGGAAAATGTTTGCCAATCCCATTGCAGTTGCTCAGTGCTGTTCTACAGCAGTTCTAGAAGTCGGCACCATCTCATCAGGGCCCAGCAGTCAATTGCTCAAGGACCAAAATATTTGATTAATTACATTTTCCCCTTTGCTGCCTATGTTGTTATTCATTCAGTCAAAGCCGGTAATAAGGAAAAATTACTTATAAAGCATCCTCTTAAAATCTGATCTCCAACACATTGCTCATAATATTCATCTGACTTTTACTTCTTAATTGGAGAGCATTTAAATTCAAGCCCACGTTTCCACTTAACCTGAATACAACCTTAAGCAGCTAAGATTATCTTCCAAATGCTAGTCCATGCAATTTTCTCATATGAAGAAAGAACATGCACAAATCTTATTCCTTCATTTAAAATAAATCAAACTAGAGCCAGCTCACAGCTTATATGCAAGCCCTGTTGGCATCCATACCAAAATTGCCCTGCCTGATGCTCTGTTCCTGGCCAGCACTGATGGGGAGAAAACACAGGAAAGACATCACAATTCTCACAAACAACTGCTGGGTGCACTGGGAGGAGTGAGATGTGTTCCGTAGCAGTGGATAGGAGTCTGAATTTTAGAAAGCCAGGATCACACTGGTGTCCTTGGTGCAATCACTTCTTATAAAGGAATTTTAGAATGAAAGGAAAGTGGATTTAAATCTCCTCCTTGTATACAAGACAAAACAAATAGAAAGGCAGTATCTCTGGGTTTTTATCTAAGGGAAAGAAAAGAATGTGCGCATATGGTTTTTCAGTGGGTGAGAGGTTGAGAGGGAAGGTTCTGTGTGTGGTTCCCAGCCCATGTCCACTCTTGATCTAACAACCATCAGTCTCCTGCTGTAGACCAATATATTATTAGTTTGGCTCTATGCTCTTTGAAGGGGGAGGGAAGAAATTGTGAAACCTCCCTTCCAACAAATATGCTGTAAAGTTTATTTCCATTCTGCTCTTCCACTCCAAATGGCAACTACTCTTTGACTAGCTAATTAGAAGGAAGATAAGAAAGAAAAGTTTAGAAAAACAATTTTAAATCAGTAAGTATTCAATATATTTGTATCTAAAATGTCATCACTTACAATAAAAGTTGGTAATGTAGAAATCATCCTTATGTTAGCAGTTTGGGGGTAAGGTGTTTCTTTTAGTCTCACAGACAAAAAACTAAACTTGCTTTCACATTAAAACAAGTGCTTCTCTCACCTTCATTTTATCAGCATCACTTTGTGCCAGTTTGCGTAGGCAATCTAGAATCTTTAGTCTCATATTCATCTCTCTGAAAATTATCAATAATCACACAGGATTAAATTGACACTTTACAATAAACTTATATTAACTACTCTACCATAAAAACTTCTACAGAAGTTTTCAATTAAAAATCTTTCCAAGAGAATGAAGCTACTTGTTTCCATAAAGAAGACCAGAACAGTGGGCCTTACCACATCATAAAATACTGTATCATGTATAAATTTTCAAATTAACTTTAATATGTTCATCTAGTGACAACAATGAAGATTTTCTCCAATCAAAAAGCAATCAAATGCAGTTTTAATGAATAACGTAATAGTTCTTGTTAAGTGCTGCCCATTCATACAGCTAGGTGCAACACACTGTAATCATGAACTTAGTTTATTTAATTATTTATTTATATTTATTTATTCTATTTGTATCCCGCCTTTGTCTACCCTGAAGGAGTGAACAGTGTTTGAGGTGAACAGAAAATGTGTTGGTTATATAACCTATACTCTGATTCCTTACACTTGTACTTTCACAAAATTCTGTTGTATTTGACACTGAAAAGATCTTTGTTGATCGAACTTTTTCCTAAGTACATCTGTTTTACTTTCTACTGCATAATATAACCTTCTATTGTGAAATCCCGATAAATACAAAGCAGCATCCATCTTTGTGATCCTTGAGAACAGGATTCCTTTTTGTAGTATAATAAATGAAATGAAATTTCTTTTTAGTTTTGTGAGTCAGTAATTGTCTGCCAATATATCAATAGGTAAGATTTGCTTTCAGAACTAGAAATAATACTACAATCATTTATAGACTCCTACACTGGGTTGCTGTGCGTTTTCTGAGCTGTATGACCATGTTCAGTAGCATTCTCACCTGACATTTTGCCCACATCTATGGCAGGTATCTTCAGAGGTTGAGGGGTCTGTTGAAACCAAGACGAGTGAGGTTTATATATCTGTGGAGTGTTCAGGGTGGGAGAAAGAACTCGTCTGCTTGAGGCAGGTGTGAATGTTGCAATTGCCCACCTTGTTTAGCATTAAATGGTCTTGCAGCTGGCTGCTTCCTGCCTGGATGAATCCTTTGTTGGGAGGTGTTAGCTGGTTCTGACTGATCCATGTCTGGAATTCCCCTGCTTTTTGAGTGTTGCTATTTATTTATTGTCCTGATTTTAGAGTTTTTTAATACTGGTAGCCAAATTTTGTTCATTTTCATGATCTCTTCCTTTCTGTTGAAATTGTCCACATGCTTGTGGATTTCAATGGCTTCTCTGTGTAGTCTGACATGGTTGTTAGAATGGCACACGTTTCTGTGTTTTCAACCAACCAGGTTGAGAATGGACTGACCTGGATTATGACATAAACTTGCATAATTTTAATTGTATGTTTTTATATGTGATATTTTAATTATTATTTTAAATGTAAATTGTTATTATAACTGTCTTGTTTGGGCATCTAATGGTTATAATAATAAATAAACATGGCCATACAGCCTGGAAAACTCACAGCAGTTCAGTGATTCCAGCCATGAAAGCCTTCAACACGCCTACATTGATTCTGCAGTCACAAATAACAACTTCTTCTTACATGCATTCAGCTAATTGTAACACTACTAGGTCAATATCAGAGTCACATTCCTTTTTCTTCAGAAGAACAAAATAGGCACTAACTGCCCAAAATATTAATGTAGGAATTATCACACTAATTTTCATAACTTCCTAAATTAAACACAATTCCTCTTACCGAAATCCAATTTTTTCAAGACGAGATTCTGTAAGGTGAGGCAAACATGAACCAGTGATATCGTTTTCTAAGAGGTAAAGAAAACAACGGTTAGTTTCCTACACCTATATGTTTCTGAAATTCTTGGTATTTCAAGAATCATGCAAATTTTACAATAAAAATGTATGAAATATTAGACTGCTATCTTATTCTGAATTATAGAGTGCACCTACATAACAGAATGAATGCAGTTTGACACCACTGCCATAGCTCCATACCATGGAATTTTGTATCTATAACCTGCGCACAAACTATATTCTGCAGAATTTTCCAAATCAGCATATTACAATTGCAAATATTGCTGTTGGAGATTTTAATCTTGATAACTTTGGACAACTGTTGGCCAATCATGATGGAAATAAAATACTGAAAAATAAAACAGTAGTTTCTGCACGCACAGGCAACTCCCACCCTGCACAAAATCATACTCAGTTGGGAAAAACGCATTTTAAACCCAAAGCAATGTAACACTGAACCTCAAGAATACACAGAGCACCTCAACCATCCATAGAGTACTATAATACAAGAAAGAGGTTTAAAAATGCCAGAGATATGGAAGGAAAGGAATCATGTTGCTTAAGTCTCTAACAAGAATAAGCGTCATATCAGGGGAAGAATGAGTGATACGTGAATCTCAGAGCTGGAAGAGACATTTACTCCAAGCCCGCCATGGAGGAAAAGCATAATCAAAGTACCCTCAACTGATGGCTATGCAGTCTCTGATTAGAAGCCTCAGCAAAGGAGCCTCCACCACTCTCTGAAGCAGTGACTTTCACTGCTGAACAGTTCTTATGGTCAGGAGGTTCTTCCTAATGTTCAGGTGGAATCTCCTTTCCTGTAGTTTGAACCCATTGCTTTGAGTCTCCAGGACAATAGAAAACAAACCTGGTCCTCCTCCTTTATGACATCCTTTCAAAAATTTATACATGGCTATCATGTCTCCTCTCAATCTCTTCTGCAGCGTAAACATACTTGGTTTTTAAAGTCACCTCTCATAGGGTATGGCTTCCAGACCTTTGATCATTTGCCCCTCTGTACTACAGAAAACTACTTCAAATGGAAATTTCAGAAACATCCTTTCTTTATTCCTCACTTCTCAAATCTCTGAACAGTGCTACAAGGCTCCCATACCAAATACCTACAGCTCAAACAGGATTATTCTTCACAAAATTCTTCACATGCATCCTAGACCCCTGCATATCCTGGCTTTTAAAGGAAGCCAGAGGGGGATTGGCTGGATGGTGAAGGTGGTGGTTAATTCCTCCCTTTGGGAAGGCAATATTCCAGCCAGCTTAAAACAAGCTGTAATAAAACGCTGTTGAAAAAACCATCACTGGACCCCACTCAATTTGTCAACTATCGGCCTGTTTCCAATCTTCCCTTTTTGGGCAAAGTCCTGGAACGTGTGGTGGCCTCACAACTCCTGAAGAAGAGAAGGCTGAGAGATATGCCATGTATAAATATGTGAGAGGAAGCCACAGGGAGGAGGGAGCAAGCTTGTTTTCTGCTTCCCTGGAGACTAGGACGCGAAACAATGGCTTAAAACTACAAGAAAGGAGATTCCATCTGAACATGAGGAAGAACTTCCTGACTGTGAGAGCCGTTCAGCAGTGGAACTCTCTGTCCTGGAGTGTGGTGGAGGCTCCTTCTTTGGAGGCTTTTAAACAGAAGCAGGATGGCCATCTGGCAGGGGTGCTTTGAAGGCGATTTTCCTGCTTCTTGGCATGGGGTTGGACTGAATGGCCCACGAGGTGATTCTATCTATGATGTTTAAAATACCAATGATATTTAATTCTGTTTTAATGTGATCTGTAGACTTTAAACCAGGTATGAGGCTGCTAGGAATTGTGGGAGTTGAAGTCCAAAACACCTGAAGAAGGGCCCAAGTTGGCCCATGCATGAGCTATCTCAACCTGATAATTTGCATATTGTTTCTGATTGGTCAGCCTCAACATTCTAACACTCTTAGGTGGCTGAGGGGGAAAAGGAAGTGGCCTGAGGCTGTTAGGAATTGTGGGAGTTGAAGTCCAAAACACCTGGAGAGAAGGCCCAAGTTGGCCCATGCATGAGCTAGCTCAACCTGCTAATTTGCATATGGTTTCTGATTGGCCAGCCTCAACATTCTAACACTCTGAAGCTGAGGGGGAAGAGGAAGAGGCTGATAGGAATGATGGGAGTTGAAGTCCAAAACACCTGGAGAGAAGGCCCAAGTTGGCCCATGCCTGGAGTGACCGGCATCTCCGCCCTCCTTGGGAGTTCTGCTCCCGCTCGGCATCACTGCCCCACAGGCTCCCCACTCCTCACCTCGGAGCCTTCTCAGCTGCTCCGCGTCGCCGAGGCCCCTGGCGCGAAGGAAGGCACACAGCTGCGCCGAGTCCCACTCCCGCGGGCGGAGGGGGCTCGGAAGCCTCCCGGGAACCGCCGAGACGCGCTTCTCCGGCGTGCGCAGGTCTTGGTCTTCGGACGGGCTAGAGGGGCAGGCCCGTTTCGGCGCCGCATCCTTGTCGTTGCGGTAATCCATCGCCACCCGGGCCGGGATGCACAGCAGCCACCGCGCCGCCTCCTTCCACGCCGACGGCTCGAGGGCGACTGAGGCGGGCCAGCCGCGAGCCAGAGGCCACCCGGCGGGAAACGGCATCACGTGATGGCGGTCTTCCACTCAGGGCCGCGCAAAGGGGGCGGCCAGCCAATCAGCTTCGCCGCTGCTCTGAGGGACGCCCGTTGCCTCTTAAAACTAATGGGTCTCTGGCTGCCTGCTGCCTCTGAGTGGTCCCTCTGCGCCTCCTCGGCCTGAGGCCACGTTGCCTCGCTTCTCTTTCCTTCAAAGAGATGGACACAATTTACCATAAGGACTGAGGGCCCTTCCACACAGCCCAGAATATCAATCCCACAATATCTGCTTTGAACTGGGTTATCTGAGTCCACACTCAAATGTGGCATTTTCTGCCTTGATATTCTGGAATATAGGGCTGTGTGGAAGGGCCCTGAGTCCACACTGCCATATATTCCAGTTCAAAGCAGATAATGTGGGATTTTATTCATCTGTTTAAAAGGAGCTCCAGAGATTGGATACAACCACATCAAAACAAACATACCACAATTTGTGCCACACAAAAGTTTCATATAAATAAATATTGTCCTAGTCATGCATGCTGGACATGTAAACTGAGGCAACATATACACTGCCACATAATTGAACAGCATTATATTGTAGTGTAGACTCACTCATGTAATGCAGTCCAACCGCCTTATATGGCAGTGTAGATCGGGCATGGTGAAGGGATTGGTTTCTCTTTTTCCTGTAAATTGAATTTGGCTATTTGTATTCCCTTCAAATAAAATGGCTGGTAAAAATTGCTGGAAGAAACATTAACAACCTTAGATATGCAAATGATACCACTTTGATGTGTCAGCTCCACTGGCTGCCGATCCAATTCCGAGCACAATTCAAAGTGCTGGTTTTGACCTATAAAACCCTATACGGCTCCGGCCCAGCGTACCTGTCCGAACGTATCTCCTTCTATGTCCCACCTCGGAGTTTAAGATCTTCTGGGGAGGCCCTGCTCTCGGCCCTGCCTCTATCACAAGTGAGGCTGGTGGGGACGAGGGACAGGGCCTTCTCAGTGGTGGCCCCTCGCCTGTGGAATTCACTCCCCAGGGAAATTAGGTCATCAACATCCCTCCTCTCCTTCAGAAGGAAGCTGAAAACATGGATATGGGACCAGGCCTTTGGGTAATCTGGCAGACTGACAAGGTAATGACGACCAGAATTTGGAAAGGACTATGGTAATGCTGAATGGACTTACGGATTTTAGAACTCGGTGAATGTTGGCCACTAGATTGGCTTTTAGTTGTTATTGTATTAATTGAATGTTTTAACTTGTGGTTATTGTTGTTATGTATTTTATCTGTTGAATTGTTGGCATCGAATTGTGCCGGTTGTAAGCCGCCCTGAGTCCCCCCTAGGGGGTTGAGAAGGGCGGGGTAGAAGTGCCCGAAATAAATAAAATAATAAATAAATAAGGAAGGAGGAGCTGAGGAAGCTTCTAACCAAGGTGAAAGAAGAAAGTGCAAAAGCTGGGTTGCAGCTAAACATAAAAAACCCAAGATTATGGCAACCAGACTGGGAAATAGAGGGAGAAAACGTGGAGGCAGTGACAGACTTTGTATTTCTAGGTGCAAAGATTACTGCAGACGCAGACTGCAGCCAGGAAATCAGGAGACGCTTACTTCTTGGGAGGAGAGCAATGACCAATCTTGATAAAATAGTGAAGAGTAAAGACATCACACTGGCAACAAAGATCCGCGTAGTCAAAGCAATGGTATTCCCCATAGTCACCTACGGATGTGAGAGCTGGACCATAGGGAAGGCTGAGCGAAGGAAGATAGATGCTTTTGAACTGCTGTTGGAGGAAAGTTCTGAGAGTGCCTTGGACCACGAGAAGATCCAACCAGTCCATACTTCAGGAAATAAAGCCTGACTGCTCATTGTATATGGTATAGAGGCAAAGATGAAGTACTTTGGCCACATCATGAGAAGAAAGGAAAGCTTAGAGAAGACAATGATGCTGGGGAAAATGGAAGGAAAAAGGAAGAGGGGCTGACCAAGGGCAAGATGGATGGATGGATCCTTGAAGTGACTGGCTTGACTCTGAAGGAGCTGTGGGTGGTGACAGCCAACAGGGAGCTCTGGCGTGGGCTGGTCCATGAGGTCACAGAGTCAGAAGCAACTGAATGAAAGAACAACCACCCTTCAAAGAAACGGACACAACCATTAGGACGGAAACACTGAGGTACCTTCCACACAGTTTAATAAAACCCTACATCCCGTTTAGACTACTGCAACGCTCTCTACGTGGGGTTGCCTTTGAAGACGGCCCGGAAGCTCCAATTAGTCCAATGCTCGGCAGCCATGATACTAACAGGAGCGGAGCGCAGGGAGCATACAACTCCTCTGCTGCACCAGCTCCACTGGCTGCCGATCTGCTACCGAGCTCAATTCAAAGTGCTGGCGCTGGCCTTTAAAGCCCTAAACGGTTCTGGCCCAACTTACCTATCCGAACGTATCTCGGCCTATCAGCCCGCCAGGACCCTAAGATCTTCTGGGGAGGCCCTGCTCTCTATCCCGCCTGCTTCACAGGTGCGGCTGGCGGGGACGAGAGACAGGGCCTTTTCTGTGGTGGCCCCGCGGCTATGGAACGCCCTTCCCATGGAGGTAAGATCAGCCCCCTCATTGATGGTATTCCGAAGAAGACTAAAAACCTGGATGTTCGAGCAGGCATTCGGTTAACTCAGTGCAAGGAATGTAATGATTAAAGGACTGGCAATATGGACGACGAAACTGGATCATGATTTTAGTCAGGAGTTGAATTGGATTGTTTGTTGATATATGTATTGTGTATTATGTCTTTTATGCTTTTAAACTGTATATTGCCAATTGTTATATTTTGTTGTAAACCGCGCTGAGTCGCCGGCTAGGCTGAGAAGCAGCGGTATACAAGTATAGCAAATAAATAAATAATAATAAATACATTATTTGCTTTAAACTGGAATATACAGCAATATGTGGACTCCGATAATCCAGTTCAAAGCCGATCTTGTGGGATTTTCTGCCTTATAGGATATAGAGCTGTGTATAAGGGCTCTGAGGCTGCATCTACACTGCCCTATATCCCAGGATTGGATCCCAGATTATCTGTTTTGAACTGGATTATATGAGAGCCCTTCCACACAGCCTATATCTCAGAACAGAGGCAGAAAATCCCACAATATCTGCTTTGAACTGGGTTATCTGAGTCCACACTTAGGTCATGTGGAATTATCTGCCTTGATATTCAGGGATATAGGGCTGTGTGGAAGGGCCCTGGGTTAACTGGTGGCCCTTCCACACAGCCATATATTCCATTTAAAAACAGATGAGGTATTTTATTCAGCTGTTTGGAAAATAAGTAGTGGTTGTGCGTCTTCAAGGTGAAATATCATGAGGTTTTATTGCCATGACTTCAGGCCCTTCCACACAGCCCTATATCCCAGAATATCAAGGCAAAAAATCCCACAATATCTGCTTTAAACCAGGTTATCCAAGTTCACATCAGATAATGTGGGATTTTCTGCCTTGATATTTGGGGTTATAGGGCTGTGTGGAAGGGCCCTCCGTTGTTGTTATCAGTTAAGATGGCCTGGAGGGATATCAGAGCAGGCAGAGGTTGCTTTCCTTCCATGTGGACAACAAGAAGAATAAAAGAGCCATCAAATCCAGGCAATAAACGTTCAACTCCATTAGCAACAGAAAAAAAGCAGATTCCTTTGAGAGCAATGCTGTTTTTGTCATGAGGAAGGCAGTCTGCCCTTTTCTTAGGCAGAAAACCATACATTTCTGCATTGTTACAACTAGAAAAAACTTTTTAGTTTCTGTATAGGTTAAAAAACTATATTATTTATCTAATTACTTGATTTATTGGTCACCTTTTGGCCCAAAAGGGATACATCTTCAGGTTCTTAGTATTGTCCCCAAGTTTGTAAACACCTAGAGAAGCCAAAGGGGGTGACTATAGATTAAAAGATGAGCCACGAGCCTTTTTCTCCTTATTGTATTTTTTGTGTGCCTTATCATTCTTCTCAAATGGCTCGTTTTATTTATGTATTATTTATTTATTTACTTCATTTATATACTGCTTTTCTCAGCCCTTAGGCGACTCAATTAGTTAAGCCATTCTATGCTCAATCATATTATTATTCCACAGGAACTTACTCAGTAATATAACATGCTGGGTCTTCCATTCATCTCTGCAAATGCAGAAAGACATATGAGACTTGTTAATATATATTTGATGAGAACCCCCTACATTTAACCTTGTATTTGTGGCCTGATTAACCTGTGAGGTAAGTGGGCTACAGGTGATAATTTACACTCTGGGGAAGCTAACAGTTAGAATAGGCTCCTACTTTTAAATCAGAAACAAGATTCTAGTTAGTTTTTCAGTAAGTTTTTTTTTAGTTAGCTGTATAGCTAATTAATTATTTTTCCAGTGCAAGTATTTTAGCCAGTATTGTGCGGAGGTATCAATGAATGCATCTACACTGCAAAATCAATGCAGTTAAACACTCCTTAAATTATCATGGGATCTGTAGTTTGGTGAGACACAGCAGTTTTTGGCAGGGAAGGGTAAAAACTACAATTTCCAGTACATTGTAGATCAGGCATGGACAGACTTCTGCCCTCCAGGTTTTGGACTGCAACTCCCACAATTCCTAACAGCCTTGGGCTTAAGCGTCTGAAGGGGAAAAGGAAAGGGCCCGAGACAGTTAGGAATTGTGGGAGTCAAAGTCCAAAACATCTGGAGGGCTGAAGTTTGCCTATTCCTGGTGTGGATGCACCCTGTGTGTATATCATGTGCCTTATAAAGTTAACAGTATATTTTTAAATTCATCATCAAAATAGTTTATTGTATGGGCCCAAGGCCATGGACAAAAAGCACCTGAACACAATAGTACCAAAGATGCTAGGCAGTATATTGCATTAGCAACTCTGATTACAGTAGGATCTCCAATTCCCCTCCACAATTTGTATTTTGGATACTGGCAAACTCCTGTCCAGAAGCACAAACTACTGCAGATTAAGAAGTCATTTAAAGAGAGATTTGATTGCAGCACACAATTGTTATCACTGAAAGCATTTCAGATACACAGCGTATTTAAGCTTTATGCAGTTTAAAGCATGTTTATGGCCTTTCCTCCCACTTGTCCTGAGAGCAAAACATTCACTCTTGGTCATAGACTCTGTATCTGGTGTAGTTAAGACACCTGAACAGCTCCATGCCATGAGTTGACAGCCAAGGCTGAAGAATTAAAGAAGAGTGGAAACATCTGGAGTTCTGTGTGGGAAAGAACCTGATAAGGCAAACTGGTTCAGGCTGGAAGACTTGGAGGCTGTACAAATTAATATTTGGGAGTTGAGGGGGTGGACCTTTTGGCGGGCATTGAATTGAGAACATGGCCACATATTTTCTTCATTTGTAACTAGGATTAAAGAAATTTCAAAGATTTCCTTGTGAGTAACTCTATGATCAAGGTTCTGCAGTCATCACACTTTTCCCAGCTCACACCCCTTCTCCTTCCCATCACTCACTGGAATGACTTTGAAGCAGGCTTTGCCAAGCTCAGCTGCCCTTTAGCTTCAACTTCCGTGTAATAATCTAGCGCAATTGCAGTAGATAACAGCATAATCAGAAGCATTGCAGGTCCCATCATTCTGATGTAAAACTCTTAGCAGGATTTGTACATTTTGACATTGTCCTCTATTTAAAAATGCAGAAATTTTCTCCCTTTCTTTTGCATCTCTTTTGTCTGTTATCAGCAGAACTGATTTATACACTAATTCAAGGTAAGGAATCTAGGGAACCCCTGTAATAAAGTATTAAACACTAGACAGACAGCAGTTTATTCTTTTTGATCTGTAAGTATCGCTGTAAATAATTATTTATTATTCGTTTTGGCCCTCACCGGTAGATTGCAACATCCTAACAGCAGGACAATGTTTACCACCAAAGTAGTTTGTTGCTCATGTCCCCTTTCAGCTTCTGCCAAGTATTTAAAAATAGTTTTTAGTCACAGATATTATTTTTTAGGAGAGAATGCACGTGGGTGGTGTCATCTCTTACAAACATTTTAACTTTTGTGTGTTTTTATGTGTATGTGACCTACATAAAGAGACCACAATTTCTATTAGTGATAGAAGCAGGGCTTCCTTGATCACATGTCCAATATACGTGTTTACTGTGCCTTGATTTGTGGGCTTGACATTTTAAAGTGCCAAGCATCCAGATTCTGTGTCTTGGACGCTCATAGAAGTGAACACAGTCCAATAATGTGGTGCTCTTTGCCTACCCTCCTCTATTCAGACATGTAATTACTGTTCAAGGTTCGACTATTTCTAGTCCTACAAAGTTGAAGGGAGCCTCTGAGTTGTGCCAACTAATGGGCAAATCTGTCATTTTTTTGCTCTAGTGCCTGCCTCACAATCAATGATAATTTAAGACATTTGTCGATTATTGAACTGATGTTGTATTTTGCATTCATTATCCAGAATCCCGCTTCTTGCACTGCTCCCCGGTAGTATCCGACTTGAAGTTTAGCTCTTTCATGGTAGTGCCATATGAGCAGAGTAGTAATGAGATGTCTCCCAGGACTGATGAGTGGATTATGTTCACATTGACTAAGATCAGCACTATTTAGGCAGTTGCCAACTTTTAAGTGAGCCATCTTGAGAATATCTTCCTTCTATGCACTGAAGGGGATGGGGACAAAGGACACCTATTTAATTTGATTTAACTTGATTAATAAACAGCTTTAGTCTTTAGCATTAGAAGGAAATCTGCCATAGTTTTAGTCTTAAGCCATGAGAAGACACACAAAGGAAAAGGCTCACATAAACAGAACAAAGAAAACATACACCAAATGAGACAATGGACTATCACCTTCTTTAGAGATGCAAAGAATTCTGTGACCCAGGGAAGTCATACAAGCAGGCAATGGCAATAAAACCTTAGAGACAGCAGCCTTAGATACAGGAATCAGAAATAGCATGTTGATGTATTTTTATTTTGATAAATTGAATTTGCTTTCCTGAACTGTTTTGATAAGCATCTGATCAAATGGTGCCATGTGCAGGATTAAACAAGATGAAAGGGAGAACAGGCGTGAGAACGAAGATGTTGTAAAGTGAATTGTACCTGCAAAACTATAAGAATCCTATGTGAAATGTCAGTCAGTGTGCCACCTTCCTTTCAGGACCGTCATCCACAGCTTATTTGCAAATAGTTTTTTTTCTGTCTCCTCTGCCTTCTACTTCCTTATTGAAAAACCAGAACTAGGGCGTTTCACAAGGTTTGCCATCTTAAAAGGGGGCATTGTAGTCATAGGGATCTTTTGGCAACTGATACAAAGTGAATGAAGCCTGCTGGTTTTCAGTATTGACCACTGAGGAAGAACTGCGATTGTGAACCCTTGGCTAACCTGTTTGTGTAATGGTGGTCCCCTCTGGAGCAAGGCTTTCATTAGTGTAGGTCTGTTGCTGAGGTGCACAATCTGTGGCCTTGGACTTCAGCTCCCAGAATTCCTGACCARTGAAAAAGCTGGCTACAGCTTCTGGGGGTTAAAGCCCCAAACACCTGGAGGACCACAGGTTGTGCACCACTGCTTTATTGGATGCTATTTTGTGAAGTTAGTATATGTGTTGAGTAAGCGGATTACTTTCTCTGATGWAGACAATGASTTTAGACCAAGATCTACATAAAAGTCTTTCTACAAACTGCCTTACATCCTGAATATACTTTCCCTTCTCCTCCTCATCGGCCTTACACATACCACTTCTGGCCACCTGCATTCAGTACTTCGCTACTTCTGTAGTGCCGTTTTTCTCACTGGAATTTAGAAATCTTGGCTCAATCAAGATCAATGAGACCATTGTTCTGAGAAACCCCTTGACACTTTAGTCAAATACTACCTTAATATTCCATGGCTTTTTGGAATAGTACAACTTGAAGCTAAGAAAGTTATAGAATTCTTCACCATCGTTATGAGATGGCTGTGTCCTGAAAGATCATCATTTTTGTTGGACTTACTAAGAAGGAAGCAATGTTTAATAAGGTAGAAAACAACTAGAAAAGGGGAAGGCCACTTTACAGATGGATAGACTCAACGAGGCCACAGCTCTGAGTCTGTTGAGAAGAGTGTCTTGGAAGATCTCACACTCATAGGGCTACCATATCTTGAAATCTACTTGACAGCAGTCAATAAACACATCTACAAGTTTTAGATTAGGTGTACTGTATCTACTTTGAACTCCTTTTTAAACACATAAACAAATACAGAGTACTTGGGTATGCTGCTGTTGGCTATGGACATTCTTCAGAGATACTTACGGTTGGAAGAACTGCTAAAGTTGTCTAAGAATAAGGGAAGAAAGGCTGTATGGGTGAACTGGAAAATAGAGCAAATAGGCCTTAACAAAACCTGTATTAAAATTATTTACATGGTAGGCAGTGCAGGTACAAAAGTCATTTACCCATATTTCACACACTGGTGAATTGCACTGTTAGTGAATTAACAAATAGGATACCAGTCTAGGTTTATTTCCGATTAACTTCTAATTATACATTGGCAGAAAGGAAGCTTAAACAATTAAAATAAGTCTTCTGATCATCTCATCCAAACATGCTTGTCATATTATTTCAATCTGATTATCCCTCAACTTTTGAGTACTCCCTGCCTTTTGGGTGAAATGCAAATTACGTTTCTCTTTTCTACTTTCGTTTCTCCAAAACTATATTTCAGTTTACTGGAAATGCTTATGCAAATTACGTTTCTCTTTTCTACTTTCGTTTCTCCAAAACTATATTTCAGTTTACTGGAAATGCTTAGAAAGTTCTGGCTGGCATCCATAGATCCACCCTTAGAGATTGTTTTCTTTCAACAGTGAATTACTATATAACCCACAGATTAACAGCACAAAGATTTATATTTTATAGCAGAACTGGGAAATTTAAGCATGGCTTGACAATAGCCCTACTTGAAGGAACTTTTAACTGAATGGATGCTTTATTTTTCCATTAGCTTGTTTTAAATTGTATTTTACGTTTTTGTACTTGTTATTCATTATGTGTTTAAAATTTGTATTACACTTGCTCATATTTCACACTATGCTGAATGGTATTGTTGCTCCACATTAATTATGTTGATTCAGTCACACCTTTCCAGATTTACTCATGGTATGGTTGTAAGTCTAAAGTGGTGAGCTGGAGAGTAATGTATGTGGTTTTGAACCCACTGGAGGAAAAGTTGAATAGAAATGACATAAATGAATGTGAATATACCTAACTAGCATATGCAAGTTTTAATAAAATGTCTTCCATTGTTTGTTTTTCTTAGTAAATTATTTCCCCATTAAGTTATCTTGAAAAGCTTTTAAAAAAGCAAAGCGTAGCTCTATTTTGTGATTGTTCTTTCTGATAAAATTAACTGTGATACCAGGAAATAGATTTTTCAATCTCTATGGTTGGGAAAATATCTAGCCTTTAGCATTACTAAATATAAGCTTGTGAGTGTTGAAATGGCTTGTTTTGTTACTGAGTGGAAGCCCAAAAAAAAAAAAAAAACCACTTTGAGGAATGAAATTTATTAACCCACGAAATTAATTCCTCACCCTCTTCTAGTACTTTCAGTTTTGTTTTTCTTGAATAGAATGGGGAAACTGAACAGAAACCTATTTTCTGTTGTTCTCCAACTTGATCCAAGTCACTGAATAATTTGGAAATACATCTGAATTAATTGATGAGTAAAGACGACACAGAGAATTTTCCTTTTTAATAAGCAGAACACAMAWACMATCWTAATTTGTTCAGTTGTTTGTTCCAGGTTGATGCAGAAATAAAGTTTGGAAACTGATTCTGTTTCGTAATACAGGTGGTATGAGAGGAACAATGATTTGGAGTCCCAAATAACAAACCAATAAGTTCTTTATCAATCCAGAGATGATAGGGACTGGTCCTGAATTAGATTGGAGGACAACAAAACAAAACACCCCCCCCCCCAAATCAAAGTCAACATATCAGAATAAAGATGTTTTTAATTAAGCCCGTATTTACAAGAATATTTCTGAACCATAGCAACATTTTTAAAGAAAGTTGCTATGGTTGCTATGTTGTGGGCAACTCCAATTTATTCAGAGCATCACTAGCTTTTTTTTAAGAGCAGATACATTATTAATATAAATAATAGAAGTTGTCACATTAGTATAAAATCTAATTAATATAAACTATTAAAATTGTGATTAAGAACTTCAGCACCAGTTCTTTATTACCAAGACCTGAGAATCTATTTGGAGAACAGATATGTATTTGGAAATGTATTGACTTAAAAAGCAACTTGGAAAAGTGGGCTGAAAGTCTTTTTACACAATGTATGATAAGATATATTTAAAAAGAGAAGATATTCAATTTTCAAAATAACCATGTTCAGTGTGCTACTTACTTTATGGAAAGTCCTACATGTAGGTCTTGTAGTATTTGAGAATTTTTCTTTCACAGTGAATTAGTAAAAATAAAATATACAAATTATGCTGTACAACATAGTTTTTCAGTTATATTTTAATATTTGACCTCATGACCTCTTATGCTAATTAGAGTACTAAATATTGGAATACTGATCAATAGTTCTAAAATCCTTTAGAACTGACTAGCTCCTTATGAAAGTAGTTTTTAAAAAACCCTACAAGAATTTCTACACATGAATTAAAGCAACCCACAGCACTAGTAAGGAAGCTTCAGCCTCAATATAATTGTGTATTCTCACTAGTTTCATTAACTTATTGTTTTTTTTTCTATCAAAACTATAAAGTAAGACCTTATATTTTCCATACTATCACATAATCAAACCTTCTGAAACCTTCTGTTTACAAATATTTCTGAAACAAGAATCAATGGTTTGGTACCCACACCGCTAACAAAAAGCATAGGCCAATCACATAAAAATAGTTATAGAATACTCTTATGTACACATGCACTTACTTTGATAAGACTTATATTTTGTGTAGATACTACACAAGCGAAAACATGATTTTCAAGGAAAAAAGTGAATAACCAGAAGGTACGAAAATGGTAACAAATTACAGCTCCCCATATGAGAGCAGCCAACTGTGCTTTGAATCCCAAGGAGTCTTTCGCCACCATGAAGTCCATCACGAAGAAAAGGCTGAAGTAGCTTGAAGTACTGATAACCTTTCCCCTCATGCCCTACTAAGAATCACAGCTAGTCATCAAAATACTGCATTTCCAAGGTAATATCTCCTCTTGTTGCTAGCTGGGCATATTGTGAATGGAAGAGCAGTAACACAAGTTCTCAATTTGCAAACCATTTTTGCTCTTCCTATTTCAGAAAAGTCCAAGGAGATTTTTGAGTACAACCACCAATGGGACAAGGCATGATCACTTCTTTTTCGAATTCCTTTATCTGAACTATTTCTCTTTTTTTGGGGTGTGTGTTCAGATCACTTCAACCTTTCCTGACTGTTGTGGGAGGCTGGCATTGAGATGACAGACAAACAGACATTGCTTCTTCCTATACTAGCTATGAAAAAGTGTGGCCAGGCTCAACATGTGCATCCTCTTTACTGATGAACTGACATAACATGTTAGGCTTGACATACTTTATGCAGTTGAGATATACTATGATGTCATCTATGATGGAACAAAAACACCCCTATAAGACTTGGATAAGTTACAAGGAATATGTCTGTTTAACAACAGGATTCATTGCCTCTTTATGATACCAAATTCAAACGAGATAGCAAGAGAACGCAAGAATTTCCCCAATATGGGCAATGACAGAAGATTGCAACTACTTTCACTCAGCAGTTGTACCAGTAACAACAAGAACAACAAAACCTTCTGGGACCATCACTCCACATCTTGTTCAATTCCTCCTGCAGGATATTTACCATTCAACTGGAACCTAAGACCACATAACTTTACATATAAGCTTATGTATAAAATAAAAATGTTAACCAAGTTTCTTGATAAAAAGAGAATGTCGCTTCAAAGAGAGAAAAACATCTGGTTAGTTGCTATATACTCTACACTTTTTTGGCCTTACAACACATTAAAATAATGCATAGAAAGTCATCAGTTTCTTTTAAAGAATAAGAATTAAAACATTTTTTTGAAGAAAAGCAACGATCAAGAGAATAAACAGGCTTAACTTCTACTGCTGTATGCAGTAGTTGCAGTCTGAGAGCCAAGATAGCTGAAGTGGCTTGCACTTTCAGAAAACAAGTCCAAAAGTATATAAAATCCATTAAAATTTATACTTTCACACACAACTGATCCAAACTAATTTTACAGTAACTCTGCATAAAAGTATAAACTGCAAGAAGAAATTTAATAATTGTCCCATGCGCCACTTTTAAAAGGTGGCATCATAGAACAGTGTATACTTTGATTGGCTCACTACCTGTCTACTGTAAGAAAAAGAAAATTGAAGTAGGAATGGGATTTGCGTTACAGAAGAAACATCTGAAGAGCCTTTAGTCCTCGCAGCGTACCATTTGGCCTAGTGATTTGCTCTTTCACTGACCACATCCTGAAGACGCTTAAGTAAAACATCATCATTTTCCTGACACATTCTCTTTGCTGGTGATTCTGTGTCACTGTCAACAGATATGGCTCTCTTCTTAGGTCTTTGCCCTTCTTGTTTTATCATATTGTTGATTTCCTTCAAACTCTGTAAGATTAAAAGCATTTGAGAACCAAAAATAAAAACAATTAATTTATATTGTACCCATTGTTTTCTTAAATTCTCAGTGTCTAAAAGACGTTAAGATAAAGTTATGGATTTACTGATTGCATTCTATGCAGAAACCCTTCCCATCCTCACATCTGCCCTCCAAAAAACCATATGCACTATTAGAATCTTTCAGAGATGGTTAATAAAGCTTTCTTGAAGTCAACAAATATGAGTGAGATTTTAAATTCTACAATGTCAAAATGAATATATCTTACCTTGGAAGGGCTTCCATTAAATTTATATAATAGTGCAGCCTTAGGTGTTGTGCAAGCACCATTCTTATGCGGTGAAACATAAACAGAGTGTTGCTGAGATATCCGTCGAGGAGAGACTGGTTGCTGTTTAATGCTTGGGAACGGGGAAAGCGGAGGTGCCTCCACCTTGAAAGGGAAAAATTCAACATTCAGATGCAAGAAATCTATTACTCCTTCTTCTAATAGTGCAAATAGGATTTCACTGAAAAACACAGGCCCAAGATGAAAAATGCCAAAGTATATTATTCTGTCAGCTTGATATATTACAATTTCTGGAGAAGGTATCTTTAATTACCAGGGAAATTATCAAAGGTTGAATCTATAATTTACCACCAAAATATAAATTAATCATTGAACAGCTATATAAATTCTACCTCCACACATTCACCAGAAACCTACATGATGTATTTTTATGTATACCTAGCTATGTAGCAGAGGTGCAGATAAATTCCTTTATTGAATTTCAAAGATGTGTAATTGGACACCAGAAAGAGTTCTCATCATGCATTGGTGCCCAATGTACATGAAGACGAGTGCAAAGTATATTGAGGCTGATGTAATTATTTCTGTGGGCTAAATCTACTTATTTTCTTCTTAAAATCTACGGGGAAGCATTACCTCTTTTTCAGTCAATCGCTCTTGTCAGTAAACCCCTGTGAGACCATTCACCAAGGGAAAGTTTATATTTACCATTTTGTTAGACACTCTAAACAGCTTTCCTGCTTTGAGATACTTTGTATTTTTTAAACAAAAGCATATCTCCTATTTAGCCTTTATGCTGTAGTAAACTTTTTTGAAACAAGAAGTAATTTCAGAAACAGGAAGGTTTTGATATTTTGTTGCTATGGCCAAGTCAGTGTTTTGCCACTGTAACTAATGAGCACCTCAATTTTCAAAACCAAGAAATAAAAAAAGGATTTGCTGCCAAATGTCATGCACATCAGCAAAAAGTCCCTTCTTTATAATTTGGCTATTACAGATGCTGCATGCTTAGAATTAAATCTTTAAAAACAAAAGTGTGAGAACACCAAAGCTTTCAGCAATGGAAAAGAAAACTTTGGGAGCCATCTATGCTGTAGAATGAGTCTCTTTGCTCAATGCTATGGAGTCATAGGGGCTACAGTTTTACAACATCTTGAATCTTCTCTGCCAAAGAGTGCTGATGCCTCAATAAACTACAAATCCCACTACTGCATAATAATAATAATAATAATAATAATAATAATAATAATAATACTTTATTTATACCCCGCCAACATCTCCCCAAGTGGACTCGGGGCGGCTTACATGAGGGCAGCTTACATCAATACAAAAAACACAATATAATGCAAAAACAAAACAAAAAAATCAGAAAATAAAATAACATAAAATACAAAACCAATGTAAATAGGCAACACAACAATATAAAATCAAAATAACATTGAACCATGACAATTAGCAATGGCCTCCCTCAAAGAGGAGCTCCAAGCGCTCTTGAAGCAGGTTCCCCTTTTGCTTTGGCTCAGCACAAAGATTACTGTATTATGTGAATCTAATGCGCACCCTAATTTTGGAGACGTCATTTAGCCGAAAAAGGTGATAATTAGAATTGAGTAAATAGGGTAATTTCCCATTGAAGCAGTCCTCAAAATGCTCTAAATTGCCCTCTTTCACCCTCTGGTGGCTACTGATGTTAATTGTTTTGATTTCATAGGTGGGCACAGTTGCCAAACAGGGATTAAACTCAATCATAGTGGTTGCTCCTCTGTGCCATCCTGACAATAGCAGCAGAGTAACTAGGTCACATGGCTACTAAGCCACAGGAAGACGTTGCTTACTATCAGATATCTCTTTTACCCATCAGAAAGAACTGAACACTAGAATAAATTCTCACACTGGTCTCAGATCAGTCTGATAAGACTGTTAAATTCTAATCCTCACCCTGAGCACCGCTACCTGTCTTTTACTCATTCAAACTACAGGAAAAGAGATTCCATGTTAGAAAGAATTTCCAAATAGTAAAAGCTGTTTGACAGTGAAATATGCTGCCTTGGAGTGTGACAAGAGTATCCTTCTTGGGAGGTTTTTAATCAGAGGTCATCTGTCAAAAAATCTTTGATTGAGTATTCCTGTATGAGAGGGGGATGGACTGGATGACCCTTGGGGTCTTTTCAACTCTATGACTCTTAATCTCAGAGCTTTATGTCTGATTGCAACCCTATGATAAAAAAACCCACTAACAGTAAATAGGTACAGCACTGCAGCTTTTTTATTCCGAATATCAATGAAAAGTACATGACTACGTAATTTCTAGTTTTTGGAGGTACAACATTCTATATTGGTTTCATTCATATCTGACATGAGTTGCAGATTAGCAACTGAAGTATATTATTGAATACAATGGAAAATGTATGTTAGCTAGCATTTCAATTTGGAAATTCTTTTTGTACTCAAGGTAAGAAAACCACAATAGAACTATTTGTACCACTTCCTGAAACTCGATATTAACATACCACATGATCATGGCTGGAAGCATCATATTTCAGTGCAAAGTTTTTCACTTTTTCTAAGTAGATGGTATTATAAAATTTAATTAGATCTCCTCTTTCTTCCTCTTCCATATCTCTGGAATCTATTGAAATAAAAAGATGAGTAAAACATAGTAGGGTTGCAATTTAGATAATGTTGCAGTTAACATGAGGATATGATAATAGAAGAAGCTTACTGATTCCCTTTCAATGAATTAAAATTAATTTTACCCATTTTATTTATTTTAAATAAAAATAAATGACTCAAGATATGCTTTGTCCCACTTTGGAGGCATGATTAAAGCAAACAAAGTAAGGAATGTAGACATTAAGAATTATGGAAAATTTAAAAGCATGCACATTTGGGGGTATGTTAGCTGGTCATAGTTGCATAACTGTGGCTCTGAATTCAGTAACCATTTATTCGGAGCATACATCTTTGGATTGATCATCATGTCAGGCTACTCAGAGAAGCCATTGAAATCCACAAGCATGTGGACAATTTCAACAGAAAGGAGGAAACCATGTAAATGAACATATTCTGGCTACTAGTATTAAAAACTCTAAAATCAGGACCGTAAATTTAAAAAACCACACTCAAAATGCAGGGGAATTCCAGACAAGAAACAATCAGGGCCAGCTAATGACCTCCCAACAAAGGATTCCCCCAGGCAGGAAGCAGCCAAGCTTTGAAGCTGCAAGGCTATTCAATGCTAATCAAAGCGATCAATTCAAACATTCACACTTGCCTCAAACAGACAAGAGTTCTTTCTCCTACCCTGGACATTCCACAGATATAAAAACCCCAATTGCCCCACTTGCCTAGTCTCCAACAAACCTCACAACCTCTGAGGATGCCTGACGTTTCATGAGGGTGAAACTTCAAGAGAGAACGCTTCTGGAACATGGCTATACAGCCCGGAAAACACAACAACCCAGTTATTCCGGCCATGGAAGCCTTTCACAACACACTAAATACTATTGTTTGTCTCCCCATCCTCCACCCACAAAAAACCCAAGCATCAGGTTGTAAATGCTTTAAATTCAAAAAAGCCTTTCATCTCTCTTTATAACATTGTTAAAAATGTAAACATCCACTGACCTTCTTCTGACATTTCTTCTTTTTTAATATCTAATGCTGCCTCTGTGGGCATTTTTTTCAATAAGACACTTCTGTAGACCTATAACATGGAAAAATGCGGATTTTGTAACTTTTGAGAAATTGAATGGCAATGCTAGATCTGAAAAATGCAGGTATTGTATTCACCTATATTGCATTAAATATATTAAAATTATGATGTAAGTTACATTAAATATGTTGAAATTATAAAGTAAGTGGGAAGAAATATACTTACATGACTATTTGCTTGTGGTTGGTTTCTATAGCTTTTCATTATGTCCTGGAAAGTTCTTTCTTCTTTAGAGACCTATGTTGATTATACACAAAAAGCATTTCGAGATACATGCTTGGAATCAAGGCCTGTGTGCATAACTGAACTTGCAAATGCTATCCTTTCTGTTGCCTCACAATGTACTCCTAAAGCTAAAGAAATCACCAGGAGAAAACTCTGAATATCTGCATTAGGAGCTGCATTTAGAGAAGGGAAATAGGCAAATGCTGTTGGATGTGAAAACCTAACTGCAAATATTCCAAGGAAGCATTTACATTCTAGCTGAAGTTTCATAGAGTCATTGTAGTAATAAAAGCTGGTGGTGCCTTAAACAGTCATTTCATATTAGCACTGTTTTGAGGTGTTCAAATTAATGCCTTTTATTGCAATCCAGGCTCCTGTTTGCAGCTTTTTATTATTATTATTTTTTTTACAAAAAATGGATTCAGTTCTTATAGGCAGCTTACACTTGAAGTGTGTTTACATTAATTCTCTGCTCTTATTTTTCCCTCCAGCAACTGCTTTGAATGAGGCACCACAGTCAAATCTATCCATTCTTCAACTTCATAACTAAAATAATCAATTCTACAAAAGACTGTATGCCTAGTATACTTGTTTCTTAATTTCTCACAGTACGCCGCAATCTTTACTTCCCAATTCATTTGATAGTTTAAAAATATAGTAGAATAGCTTTAAGTATAAAACAAATACTAGTTTGTTCTATACAACAAAAATGATTTGGGTAATAATTGAAATGTTTTTTAAAAAGGACCTGTACTGAGACAGAAACAGTATGGACTTGAAAGAAATGGTCACTATGAGTGACAGGATCCTGAAAAAGAATTCATCGTGAATAGTGAGATTGTTGAAAAAACACAAGAGCCTCTTATGAAATTAATTCACAATCCCTATTATGATCGCTCACTCTCTAGAAAAAATTTGGAGGAAATAATTAATCTGTTTCGAGCAATAAAGAATAGATTGCCATCAGTCTTTGGATTCTATTGAGTTGACAAAAAGGAAAACAATTACTCATATTTAAACTTGGGGTAAGACAGAGACATCAAATTTGTATTTCTGTCTTTATGCATCTTATTATGCATGATGAGGAATGCAGCTGAAAAGTTGTCATGAAATACATTCCTGAACACAAAATAATATTGCTTTCTGGTGGATATGCCTTTACCTTTGCCATGATGTAAAAAGCACAGAGGAGGAGCTGATCCAAATGCCTGTCTTTCATAAGATCAGTACAATGAACTAATGTGAATTCAAAACACGTCCATATCTTCCTGCGTAACTCATTAGAAACATCCAATTTTAGGCAAAGATCACGTAACCGCACACTTGCAAGATGATACACCTAAGATGAAGCACAACATAAAATTACATAATAAAATAATAATAATAATAATAAACTTTATTTGTATTTCGCCCTTTCTCCCCTAAGGGGATTCATATAAAGCTCATATATTTTGGAAGTTAGAAACAGACAGGAAGGGAGAGGGGGAAGTTTGCGAAAACTGAGTTGCGATGTATGTATAAATTAATTTCATCAGTTTTAGTGGGCTCTGAAAAAAAAATTAGAACAGCAGAAATGAAATAATGAAGTCACTACAAATATGCAATTCAGTACTTTTGTTTCAGTGAAACTACAAACAGCAAATAAAAATTGTTTTAAGTTTTTTCTAATGTACTACTGTAAATTTCTGTGTAATATATATTTTAGTCAGGTTGGCTGTAAATGATGTATACACTGTGCATCATTTCCCACTTAATTCTCCCCTTTCCTCCATGTAAAAAAATCTACATTGCTTTTGCCCTAAAAAGGTCCATGCGTGCCCTAAACGGTCAATTAGAGGGCTATGGGTGCCCTTGTCAACATGAGGGCGGTAGGTTAAAAAATATTATAAGGTTTCCACTTCCACCCCTACAAAGTTAATACATCATCCTAGCTTTCCACTATTGTCTGTTCTAAACAGTAGCAAAGTGCAAAAGATCCATATGTATGGAAGGAAGAACTTCGGTTTCCATGTGATAATGGTGTCTTATATCTTTCACGTCTTCCTGGGTACATATTGTTATTCCTTTTCTTATGGTAGCAACATGGATTTTACTAACCTTTCTGAAAAACAGTGCCAGAGATCCAGTTTTCTTTGGTCTACTTCCTGATGCAGGATAAACTTCTTGGGTTTGAGCCATATGATGTTGTCTGGGGGACATGTTCAATAGAGCCTGAGCGCTTAGGGGCACTTGTCCATGGCAGTCCATTTTCGATTCTTCAGATACATTGATTGAAATGGGTATTAAAGTTATCCCTCCTGTATCATTTGCAATACCTAAGTTGCATTCACAAGTTTAAAATATATTTATATATTTATATAGACATGCATAAGTAAACTGCAAACAGAAGAATTGTGAAAGAGACATTTAGGAGATAATATGTTTTGTTTTACATTTGGATATTGATGTGCATTAACAAATTGATGTGCATTAACAAATTGTCTCATAATTTCTACACAGGGTCTATGACTGAGCATTCCAAGGTGCATTTTCCACAAAAGTGAAAATATTCAGCAAATAAAAGGACTGGTTGTATTTTGCTGCCTGATATGGAACAGGATGTGGCCCTTCCTGTCAAAGGGCCCATAATCAAAGCTCAAGTTGTTTTAATAATTAAGACAGCAATAAAAATAAAATAAAATGTTGCTGTTCTTTCATATTACCCAAAATAAACTGCCTAAAATGGCAACCTCACCCTGAATTGTTAGCCCAGTTTATGTCCAAAACTCTTCAGAACTATTTATCTAAGAGTAAGAATTAATGTTAAAAACCATGGTTACTTACCATGCAATGGAATTGTCATTTTATTTCCTGTTACTGAAGCTGTTGCCATACTGAAAACTGTCTGTTCAGATGAGACAGACACATTTTCATCAATAAAGTTTGAAACTGGGGCAATTTTCAGCCTGGTCCCTTCAGTGCGCTTTTTTTCTGAAAAATTTTCTCTTGGGCTTTCATCCCCAAAAAGTCTTCTCTTAGCACTTCCAGCCATAGGAGAACTATAGCGATCATGAACAGAGATCGGAGACAATGTCTGCATATCTAAAACAGAGGGGAGAAGGCATCTCTGTAAAATGCAAAAGGTCACAGAAGCATAACTTTAACATTTCAGAAATGAATGTTGAAATAGAATACTAATTATGATAAATTTGAAGTTTTTATTTGAATAAAAATATTTTCCAGAGTTCACACTAGGACAAAATGAACTCATCCAACTCTGAATTTCAGTAGCCTGAGCCAGAAAAACCAGTGATGAGGAGCTCTAGAATGCACTGCACCAACTGGAGGGTCATACTTGATAATCTCATGACTTAGTTGAGCCCTAGTGGAACCAAATCAGATATATTTGGAAAAGAGCCAATATTTTTATGTAGTAATTAAACCAACACTGAAACTATTCCTTCATTTCAGAAACAAAGAGAGAAATACTTCTCTTTCAGGCTTTATGTAAATTCAGGTAACACAAGGAGACACATTTAATACTAGATCTTTTAGACAGAGAATGCAATAATTAGATCAAACATACCCCGTCTAATATTTCCTCCAAGATCTGTCCGAACCTCTTTTACTCGTGGATGCACTATAGGAGACACTGGAATCATGGGAAGATGTCCTAGTCCTCTGACTCCATTCCCTATTTCAAAATTACATGGAAATATTACCTAGGAAAGAAAAGGTGGCAGTTTCAAGAAATGGGAATAATATTGTTTTACTTTGTTTACATAATTTATAAAATAAGGGGCACTGAATTATAATTAGATAATTGTTTTTCTAAATTCCAAATTCAGAAGAGTTCTGTATAAGAATAATGCTCCTTTCTTTTGTTATATTTGCCTGTTAACATACTTCTTCACAGGTAGGAGCCTTGTTTTCAGACGCTTGGAGGGCATCCCACAGGGCAGAGTCCTTGGTCCATGCGAGGCTTTCAAGAATTTGTTCCTCAATGCTGTTCAGATGTTTCACCATGTCTCGAGAAAGTCCTTCTTCTGATCGAATCAATACTTCAATCACCTTGAATGCAAAAGGTGGGATCACATCTGTCCAGTGCAAACCTACATCACTGAAACATCGTCTCTGTTTTCTTTGAAATGATTTCCACAATTTTTGTTCTTTCCTGCATTTTTTTCTGGACCCCCGATGGAACATTTTCTTTCTTTTTCCCCCCTGTAAGTTTTTATTATGCATTTCAAAAAAACTAAAAAAAATCCCACAAAATTAGTACATTTGTATCTTCAACTTAAGTACTATTATACACATCGTCTAAAGTTTTTAAAGTTTCAAATGTCCTTTATAACAGAAAATATACTCTTGTCATCCAATGTCAAGACTGGTAGCTATGTCTTTCCATACATACTGATGTTCTTCCTATCTTCTTTTCCAGTTCTATACATGTATTTTATCCAATTTTAACTATTTTTTTCTAATCTTGTCTCTACTAATAGTCTTCATAAATATAATTTATCTGTCAATTATCTCTGAATCTCTCAGTCACTTTCCACAAACACTGGATTTCTCTCAAACTTTATTTAATAATAAATGCAAAAACATTGGGTCAACTGTATATTACATTAAAATGTTTTACACATTTTAATGCAAAACTATGTTTGAATGGAGGAAATAAGCATCATCCAGGTGTATCTGCTAGGAGGTTGGATTAATGCTGCTATCTCCTATCAAATGTCCAATGGCCAAAGCTGGTTTGCTGTTGTGTACTGTTTGCAATACCCTTCTGGCAACTTTAAATACGTAACTTCACTGCTTTGCTTGTGCTTACCTTATAGAAATAGAATGGCCTGAGGTTAAGAACCTCAATGATCCAGGGGAAAGTTCGTGGTGAACTGTATGCAAACAGCACAATCTCTAAACAACATGCCAAGAGGGAACAATGGAAAATATCTTGCTCTAAAAGAGCCTGCAAAGTAAAAACAAACAACACAATCTTAACCAACACCTGTATAACAAATTGATGAATTTCTTAAAACTCTACTATTCCCCTATCAAAATTAGGCTGGTTCCTTCTTTCTTTTCCAGCAGGTTTTTGGAAACTTATTTTAAGGGGGGTTAAAACAATTTTATGGTGCTGTACTTGTATTAATCTATTTCAAAGTAAGGATTTAATTGGTTTTAATTTTGTTGTCATTTAATCACAATTTGATATGGCTTTAACGATATGTGTTTTATCATATTCTGTCTTTCTGTAAGGAGAAAGAGCAGAATATAAGTAATTGATGGGCAATAAACTGAGAATTTGGAACTTAAAGCTAGGTGTAGCTGCTCTGACTGTTTTAAATGTCTTTTAGTCATTTTAATAAGTTGTTCAGTTGCTTTTACACTATTTTATCACTAGTGATTATTTTACTAGATAAAATAATCTGAAAAAAATAAGGACTAATTCAGTTAATGAACAAAGACTTTCCATCCCACCCTATTTCCCACTGTCCTGTAGTTATCTACTTACAGACATGTCTTTGCCATGAAGTCTTCGCATTTCTTGTACCATTATGGTCTCCAGTATTTTATAATAAAGGATTTCTGCCAATTTTAACCGATTCACAGCAAAATCTGCAATTTAAGACAAAACATCTATAATGTTGATTTTTGAAAAATGTACAAATTATATTTAGCATAAAACATTAAACAATTCAGGTATTAAGATTGCAACTGTATACTTTGACTGGAGAAGAACTCCTGAACTCAACAGGTAACAAGTTGCACAGTAACAATGCAGTTCTACACAAACTGTTTACAAATAAACCCCAATAAATATCCTAGAACATGTTTCTAAGTACACATGAATGAAATAGAGCTACAAATGTAACAAAGACATTTCATTCTAGATAAAAAAACTCCAATGTTTGAGAAAAAATTGGATAAATGTTTATTTTACTTAAAACATTGTATAAACACACATACTATTCTCAACTATTGTTCATTACACTAAGAACATTGAGCTTTTAAGAGTTGGGTCTTGTCTTCCCTTCTTTCAAACCTTACAAGCCCTTTCCCTCCCCTCCCCCCTTCCCTCACTCCCCCCCCTCCCCCATTTTTTCTGTTTTTAATGTATCACTGTTAAAACCTCAATAAAAACTTTTTTAAAAATAGAGTTGGGTCTTGCACTTTTACAAAAATATCAGCTTTTACCTATGTGAGATCCTGGCTGATCATCAGTAGACCGGGTATAGTTTTGACAGAAGATTTCACCTATCTCTTTCACTCTGTTCATGATGTTTTCAATAGGATTTCGTACGCAAGACCTACAGGAGAGCACAAATAAATGGTTCTTATTTACACAATAAACATGAAGTTTATATGTATGCATGTGTAGACATGCATACTTCTTTTATTGCACATTAACTACCAACAGAAAAAAAAAATCAAGGGTCCAAACAAGAATTCTTTTTCCCATAGCAGCCTGTCAGAATCAAGTCCAAATTTGCTTGATATTAGAACTAGAAAAGCAGGTGCCTGTGATGATGTTTTACATTTATATCCCATATAAATAATCTCAAGGTAATATATAATGTTCTCTTCCCATTTTGTCTTAATATTACCCTATGGGATTAATCAGGCTGAAAGACTGACTGATACAAGATTAGCCTAATTCAGTCTAAATCAAACATAGGCAAACTTCGGCCCTCCAGGAGTTTTGGACTTCAACTCCCACAATTCCTAACAGTCAGTAGGCTGTTAGGAATTGTGGGAGTTGAAGTCCAAAACACCTGGAAGGCCCAAGTTTGCCCATGCCTGGTCTAAATGTAGTCCAATACTCTCATCATTACACTACTCTGGCTTTATGGGGCATAAAGGCAGCTTGAAATTTATAAACAGTGAGGCAGGCCGATAAAGGCAGAAAAAAAGGAGAAAGACTTACAAGACAAGGAAAGATTGTGAAGGAGCAGGAATAGCAATGAAAGCATCCGAGATGATGTCTCTGGGAAAGGTTGGCTGCTTTGTAGAAGAGAGGGATAGACAGTCTTTAACCCTCTGTTATGATGAGATGTAGCATCTTGAACCAGTTCAGGGTTGAAGCCCTGTCTTCTAATGCAAGAGGGTTCAAAGAATGCTCTGAGGTTGGGATCCTATGCAGAGCCCCACATTAAACAATTTGACCCAAACTTTTCCTTTGTTACACTACATAATTTCTTACAATAAGTCAGCAAATATGTTAAATAAATAAATATGTATATTGTATAATAAAAGCATGTGTGTATCTTATAAATCTAATTCAGTTACAATTATGTTGAAAAGAGTCCTTTAAAACAMTCCTTATTTTATTTAATGRCCTGCCATTCTCTGAAGACAGGAACCCATACGACAAGATTAAAGCAAAGTAACACGAATATGAAAGTAATATTAATTTTAAAAGCATATAATAATTTAGAATAAAACAAGGAAAAATGCAGCCATCTCCCACAACCCCCCCCCCCCCTTTGCACAACCTATCATTAAATGCCTATTTAAATAAGGTCTTAAGTGGTTGGTGAAATGAGAGTGGGAATTGAGAAAACTCTCTATAGGTACATCTAAACTGACTTTTAGAAAGAACTTCCTAACTGTGAGAGCTGTCCAGCAGTGGAACTCTCTACCTCGGAGTGTGGTGGAGGCGCCTTCTTTGGAGGCTTTTAAACAGAGGCTGGATGTCCATCTGTCTGGGGTGCTTTGAATGTGATTTTCCTGCTCCTTGGCAGGGGGTTGGACTGGATGGCCCACAAGGTCTCTTCCAACTCAATGATTCTATGAGTTGTTATCCTGAAGAGGGTCTTTGTGTGAATCAGCTCTGTGGCAGCTAAGTGATGAAAGGAGCTGATTCAGGTTTATACGGCCTTCAGATTGTTTTGAATGGTTCCTGAGAAACTCGAGCAAACAGTCCATGTAGCAACTGTGTCGATGGTTCTGGGAAACCAGACAGAACTGTTTACACATCCCCAGACTTCCCCAGAATCTTAAGCCTTGGGCATGCTCATACAGGGAGATACAATTTTCGACTAAGCCATAACCACCAGCACTTTGAAATCCACCCTGAAATAGTTATCAACGAAAGTTGTTACGAGGGTGCTGGATCAGGCACAAGGTTGTTTGTAAGGAGAGTTACATTCTGCCCATACATTCTTGGATCTTGGTCCTTATGTTTCTCAGATATTATTCAAATAGCTTCTCTAGACATCTAGAGACAGATTTTAAAGGATTTTATTTGTATCTAGTCAATTTTTATTTGATGTAAATTGCTCTCAGAAAACCTCTACACTTCAAGAAGCATACTGGCATCTAACAACATGTTTTGCACTTCAGGAAACACAGCATGAGCCTCTGGACTTTGGTACCCTAATCTACAACTAATAAAAATAAAAGAAGATGGGACAAGAAAAAAGATCTATAGATCTAAGTAAAAGGAAGAGATGGTGCATACTTACTCAAAAATAGTTAGAAGCTGTTCACTTGGTCCATTTTTCTGCCCTGCTACAATGCTCTGTAGCCGGCTTACACTCTGTGTTGCAGAAGCAACTGGAGTAATGACTGGTTCCTTCTCTCTCAGGTATCTTCTGCCAGTCAAGGGAGTAGAAGGTGCAAAGGATCTTTTCTAACAAGCCAAAATTAAATTTCTTTCAGTTATTTTGACCACTTTAACTATATAATACTAAAAAGATTCAGATCATAGCTGCAAAATACAAATGAAAAAAACAACTAAGATCACTCAATGAAATTGCATGTTACTTTTTTGGGGGTGAGGGAGGCTATACACAAACAAAGACTGCAGTTTATAGCACAAAATCAGTGTAGGGAAATGAAACCCTGGAACTTAGCATTCTGCAAGGGACAAATTCAGATGAGTTGGGGTGTAAGCTTATCAGCATCATTTTTTCTTAAGTTTCAGTTCAAGAGCCTTATCTATCCACAGCATCTGATCAGCATATCGATAAATTTCAACACCCATGGAGAAGGTCTTATGGTCCTCAGTGCCAACACCACAATTAATGCTCCTGAGGAAGCTTCAGAATCAAACATCCTGAGCAGTCTGCATTGGTGGCCCAGTTGAAACAGGCTTCATAACAGGAAGTAGTAGAAACAAGGATAAATAGGTGGTTGAAACTCTGAAGGTGGAGGAAGATGCTCAGACACTGTGGCAGAAGTAGGATGTCAGAGAAGCAACCATCTAGAATAGGCATGGACAAACTTAAGCCCTCCAGCGGCTTAAGCAGAAGAGGGGGGAAAGGAAAGGGCCTGAGGCTGTTAGGAATTGTGGGAGTTGAAGTCCAAAACACCAGGAGGGCCAAAGTTCACCCATGCCTGATCTAGAATCTTTCACTCATATATAGGGTAGGCATCATTTCCACAGCTATAATATTGAGGTGGTGAAAAGCATTTGTAATAGCAAATATTTTCAAGAACTTAAAACTGTTTCAAAAACTTTGGTAGTGTTCCTTGTCACCTCAGACTTTTTGCGGAGATGGTGCAACTGAAATGATGTCGGATTTATTTTTTCTGATCTTAGTTTACAGAATTAGTTGAGAAACCTGTGGATCTTGAGATGTTATCAGATTTTCACCATCACCATACTTCACTTTTGACCAGAGTGACTGAAGCTGATGGGAATGGAAGTTCAGAAAGAACCAGAGCGCCACAAGTTTTCCAACTGGCATGGGCAATCCTTGGTTCTAAATGGTTCTAAAGTACTTACAAAACTAGGGGGCGCTGGTGCTTTGCTTCTAGAGTGTTGCTAAAGTTCTGGTGGTGAAAATTTCAGAACTCTAACAAAACTTTCAAAATTTCATTATAAATGGCAGTTCCTAATTGGTTCTGTCATAAAAATCGCCAATAACGAAATAATAATGAAATTTTGAAAGTTTTGTTAAAGTTCTGAAATTTTCACCACCAGAACTTTAGCAACACTTTAAAAGAGAAGCACCAGCTTTAGCAACACTTGAGAAGCAAAGCACCAGGGCCCTCTAGTTTTGGAAGTACTTTAGAACCATTTAGATAGAACTATGGATTATCCATGCCTATTTTCCAAACTAAATTAATTTTACTACTCTAGGAAAAGTGATGTATCCCCAAATAAAATGCATAAGTAACATGCTAGTCTTAATGTGAATAAAACATTTGCTTTACCAATTGGGGCTAACATTAAACAATGGTGTACAAAATTAATATAGTTCTTATGAGGCTATTATTTGTGGGATTGCTTTATCTTGAAAAAAATCTTATTACAGCTTTCTATGTTCATTGAACAAAACATGCAAATTCATTACTATAACTGGAAAAAATAACACTTGATTTTCCCTGAAACCATGACGCTAGGCATTCTATTCTAAAGGACAACAGCATCAATTACCTTCTCAAAATGCTGCTGAAGATGGCACTCCACATGGGCCCTTGTCATTATCTTCCCAGATGGCACATCCGTGGAAAACTTTTGAGGAGTTCCAATTTCCTCCTCTGCATCTGCCCCTAAGAAAACCCTCTCATCAAAGTCACCTTCTGTCAGAACATATTCTTCATATTCTTTATTCAGTGCTTTGCTGGAAAACAAGATACACCATCAGGCATTAAGCATAGTTAACTGATTTCACTCATTACCATGTTCAAGAATTATCTCCCCAACATCTCCCATGTTTTTTTTCTATTTCACATTAATGCAAGTTGAATATACAGGCAGTCCCCCGAACAGCTGCGCATGCGCAGAACAAAACCCATTATGTGCGTCTTTCACAGACTACACAAAGGGGAAAGTGAGAGAAATCTACCTTTCGGAAGGGAAATTTACTCCTGAAAGCGTTATTATGGGGAAAAGATGTCTCAACTGAAGCTTTATTACCAATCTTTTTTCCACATCAAGCCAAATTTTTCAAAATCCAAATTAACACAGGGACAGAAAGTGAGGTGAAATCTTCTGAACAGGGGCACAGACAGTAAAACAAACACCACTGGGGTGCTAGCCCTCCCCTATGCTATCCGAAACTAATGTATATATACATTTGGTTTGAGTTACACTTAAAATGTACCTGTTCCGACTGACGTACAAATTCAACTTAAGAACAAACCTACAGAACCTATCTTGTTCGTAACTTGGGGGCTGCCTGTATTGTGAAATCCAGTGATAATGGTAAATTGGATGATGTAAATACAATGAATCAGCAACCTATAACTTTTAAAGGGTTTTTTTTTTCAGTAAATGATTTATGACAAGCATGACTGAAATAAAATTGTTCAGGTCTGTAAATGCTCTCTCTGGAATGCAAATTGCCCATTTCTACATTTGCCACAAAATGAAGTTAATTTACTAGAGATGACATTGTGACATTAATCAGAGCTGTTCAGTGTAAGGATGGTATGATCACAAAACATTCTTCAGGCTCCAATGTGAAAACATTCCAGAGGTTCAACTCCCAGTTTTGATTCCTACACAAGAGAAAATATCTTATTTTTAAACACTCACAAGCATTTATTTCAACAGCTACTGTACTGGCCATTCACTATTACTGCTACTCACTATTACTGTCATAAGCAAAAGACAGACATTTAAAAACACTGAAGACTACACAGTAAAACACCTAGTAGTAGACAATAAAGACTGACACATCAGAAAATGACTTAATTTATTTCATACACTTACTTGTTGTCTAAAAAGTTATTAAGATCCAAAAGACAGTCTCCTTTTAAAATCTACAAGGACAAACATGAATTAGAAAAGGAACAGTTAAAAAATATGCTTCTGAGAGCATATCTGCACAAATGTTTCAGTGCAAGTGAGTCTGCTAATGTCAAAAACAGGCAGACAATATCACCAATGAAAATCTCTATTTTTTTTTCATCAGAATAAGCACTTTTCTTGTACTTGCCAAAATACATTGCTGAATTTTGTAACACTGGGCTTGTTAAAATATCCGGTCACCCACTCCTCCCTTCTCCAATCACTCTGGCACTCCAACCAGCATCACTACATGAGTGACAATCACCATCAATTTTGTGTCGGGTGATTGCCGCTAAACCAAGGATACAAGAATGATAGTATGTGCTATCACTATTGTCCAAGTCCAGGGAAAGTGGGATGGCTGGTTCTGAATCAGAACTGGCCAAACATTTTGCACTGCCACAAAGTACAAAAGTGCAGGTGAGCTCTGTGGCTCCCTGACTTTATGTAAAGTGGGACAAGGCCACATTAAGCTACCTTCGTGGGCATTAGGACAAAAATCATGAGTGCAAGCAAGGCAGAAGCTGCAGATAACAGCATACAATTCATTGATATCATTATTCATGAAGATAGGATTTATGCTTAAAGTAATGTGGAAACACAACTCAAGAGAACATTTTTACAACCCCATTACTCTATTGAAGAACTGTACAGGCACACACTTTGGATTGATGGGATGGACACCCTACCATCCCCCCCCCCCCCCCCGCACAGCTTTACAGCAGTGATGGGAATCATGTCACCTTCATATGTTGTTAAGACTATTCCAGACACTCTATTTAGTACAACCAATGGTGAAGAATGCTGCAAGGTGCAATCCAACAACATCTAGAAGCCCACATGGCTGATATCTTTGTTCTAGAACAGTGGTTCTCAACCTGTGGGTCCCCAGGTGTTTTGGCCTACAACTCCCAGAAATCCCAGCCAGTTTACCAGCTGTTAGGATTTCTGGGAGTTGAAGGCCAAAACATCTGGGGACCCACAGGTTGAGAACCACTGTTCTAGAACATTTCCAAATATGTTCTTCCCAGGTGCAGGTATCTCCATTTGGGTGCCTCCACAGAAACCACTAAGGAAAAACAAAACTATCATATTTTCTTTTTAAAAAAATCAATATTCAATCATCTATATCAGGGGTCCTCAAGCTAAGGCCCAGGGGCCGGATACGGTCCTCCAAGGTCATTTACCCGGCCCTCGCTCAGGGTCAACCTAAGTCTGAAAAGACTTGAAAGCACACAACAACAATCCTATCTCATCAGCCAAAAGCAGTCCACACTTCCCATTGAAATACTAATAAGTTTATATTTGTTAAAATTGTTCTTCATTTTAATTATTGTATTGTTTTAAATGTTTTTGCACTACAAATAAGATATGTGTAGTGTGCATAGGAATTCATTCATGTTTTTTTCAAATTATAATCCGGCCCTCCAACAGTTTGAGGGACTGTGACCTGGCCCTCTGTTGAAAAAGTTTGAGGACCCCTGATCTATATCATAATGCACTAACACTCTGAGGCTGTTGTTGAAAGACTGCTGGCAATTAGCTGAACTGCAGCAGCATCACAGATACAAAAAGCAGGCAAGAGGTTATAAGTTGTCACAAGTTGTGTTGTCATGATCACACAAGAGGCAAAACTAATTGATATCTAAGGCAATAGGAAGGGGAATGCGAGAAGGGAAGGCATCTTACAGCAATACCTCTCAGTAGTTGGTCTTTGGGACATTTTTGACTCAAGCACCTAGACTCCATGACCACTGGCCATGAGGGCTGGAGTTTCTCGGAGCTCAGGTCTAAAAGATCTCAAAAACCAA